ATTCACGAGGCGGTATTGTTTGAGTTCATATTTATCTAAAACTGGAATAAAGCTAACAGCGCTGTTTCGGCGTAATGCCATCTTCAGAGCCTAAATATTGTTTAAGCATATAATTTAATTAAAATAAATGACTAATGTAAAATGTGAAAATATAGAAAATAAAATATGTATTAAATTGTGAAATAAATTAACCTTGTTGTAAATATCATAATAACTAAAGTTTATGTAGATTATATAAATAAAATAGTGTAATTTAAATAAAATGTTCAGTAAAATAATTAAAATATAGAAATTTTATAAAAGTTTTAACATGGTTGAAAAAACGTTGGTGAAAACTAATTACGAATGACATGTGCGCAAAATATATAATATTGATGTGTATGCGTTGTGAATACAACTATTGCGGTTGAATATGTGTGATACGAGTTTCCACATCAGACCTACGTATACATAGTTAAATATAAATACATATATGTACATGCAAGATACATCAAATATTAAGTATCACATAATACATCCAACGACGCAATGACAGTGGTCGGATGACGCTAGGTCACAAACTGCGTGTTAATGGGTTGAAATGTATTCAACGTAGAATGATATTCATATCGTTGTGGTACACGCAGATCCTGTGGATTAACCCCAACGGTAACAGTAGGTGTGAGATCGTGATATTGAGAAAACAATTGCAAAATGTGATCAAAGCTGTTATATTGTTTATTGAGTGAGGGTTTATGCTTGTTGATATGAAGGGCTTCTTTAATTTTGGGGCGAACTGGATCGGGTTCATAATCAAGGATCGTTGTGTTGGGATCCAATATGTTCCTCGTAAGCGGTTGATGATGTACCTGTTCCATATGGTCCTTAATGGCACCATTCTGTGTATGCATGGTGAGTCTTCTAGAAAGAGTAGTTCTCGTATGGCCGATATAACTCTCCACAACACAGTGTGGCACGGGACAAGAAAATCGGTATACGAGATTGGTTCTCTCTAGTTTGTTGGAGGGACGTGTGTTGTTGTTTTTAACGATAAAGCTGGATGTTCGGTTGGTGTTGTAAGTCGGTAGCTTTCGTCGGGAACGGAGACATTGGATTTGATGATACGTTTGAGTATTGATTCATCAACTTTGTAGTTGTCATGCATTTGATTGAGATAATATAGAGGTATAATTGTTTTTGTAGAGGTTGGAGTTGTAGGATTATTTGTTTTGTTGATATAATGTTTTATGGTATTATCTATTAATTGGTTGGAATAGTTGTTGTTGATGAGAAACTGTTTTATGCGAATCAGTTCTGTATTGAAAATATTGATATCGGAAGAGATTTTGTATGCCCGATGAATGAAGTTATAGATGACGTTGTTTTTATAGCGGTCGGGGCAATCCGAATGATTATTTAAGACCTGACCAGAATTAGTCGGTTTAACATAAACCCTCGAAGTTAGCTGTTCTTCTTTTTCTTCAATTAAGCAATCGAGAAAGGCCAATTGTTTTTGGTGCTAAATTCGATGGTGAATTTGAGATGGGAGTTGTTCTGAAATATATTCTGTAAGTTGTAAACATCGGTGACCTTTTCGCATATGATGAAAATGTCATCGACGTAGCGTGCATATATTGGGGGTCTGTTGGTAGGGTCAGCAAATATCCTTGATTCGAGATCGGCCATATAGAATTCTGCGAACAGCGGTCCCAACGGAGATCCCATTCCATATATATATATATATATATATATATATATATATATATAATCGTATTTACATCTATAAGGATATATATATAGTTACATGTTCATTATATTGGCTTAATAATAATTCTGGTTCAGTTCATATGGTTATTTTGTTGGTGGTATTTTAATTGTTTGTTAATTTATTTTTCATTTTTATTTATATATTTTTTCGTTTCTCTTCTTTTTTCACACATGAACTTCCAACGTTTCATGTTAGAGGTGGGCATGCATTTTCTGCGCCCATAATTCAATAAATAAATTAATAAATAAAATAAATGTATCCAATAATATAAGTGCTGATAAATATTAAAAAAGTCATTGAACTTGAAAAACATATGTAGCTCTAATATTTTAAATGGAAATCATTAAATAAAATATTTATTGCTTAGTTAGGTTAGAGAATGATTGAGATACAAATGCAAACAAAAACTGAAAATAAAAGGTACGTAACCTGAATTCAAAAAAGCCGTTGTTTAAAATGAGGGCCATAAACTCTTCGTTAACATCTTCATAATTTTCATTATTCAGTTTCTCATCTCTATCTCTTCCCATATAAAAAACTATGCCGTTGTTGCTGTAAGGTCTAAGTTCAAAGTTCATGTCCAATTCGCTTATACCGAATTGTGGTTTGTAAAGTTTCATCCAGGAATGTTGTGAGAAAGATGGATAGGTATGTTGAGCTGTGGTTCAATGTTATTCAGTGCTTATGTCGTACATTTTTATATATAAAGTTAGATCTCGATAAAAAACTAATAAAATGTTACAAATTTTATGCTACATTTACATGCTACATTAATGCAACATTTTAAATCATGCACAAAACGAATCAAATATATTTTATCATTTAAAAGGTTATCAAGTTTCAGTCTTTCATCTCAACTTTTGAATATGGCTCAAACAGTTAAAAAAACTCTTTTAAATGAAAAAACTTTGATAGCATAGAGATTTGATAGCACCACTCTATTTATGCATCGTAAGCCTTCTAGTCAATGAGGTAGTAGTAATCCCGATATATGAGTCATGTTGACGTGCACAGCCGTCAAAGGGGCAATTAAATTCATATATTACGTGATTACGCCTTAGCACAGAGTTATCTCTAGGACTACAGTTCTAGTTCATTTTGACAAAGTCAATATTTCCCTATATAAACAGCAGAAAGCACTGATGATGATTCATTCGGAATCGAAATATGGCCTTATTTGCAGCATGAATTCGGAAAATAAGTTTATTTTGAATTTTAATAAACTAAACGTTCACCAAAAAACTTTAGTGAGAAAAATTGAAAAAAACGAACTACAAACATATTAACGCCAAACATTCGGTAGAATTTATAAAATATTGTAAAAATTATGGTCTATTACCAACATATATATATATATATATATATATATATACATATATATATATATATATATATATATATATATATATATATATTATTGATGAAAATCACGAAAATCACAGCATGTTCGGCGTTAGTTAACTTCCAATTTAACTTTTCGATTTTTCTAACGGTTGATCATCGTAAATCATTTTCAAGTTTTTTTTAGTTCAAAACCAAATTTTTTGTTTAATTTATGCATGATAGAATAGAAAAGCTTTTTTCGGTATTCCTATACCACCTTCGGTGTTCAAATTAATGTTTTGTGTTTACTTTGTTGCCGTATGCATTACTACATCGTTTATCGTTTATCCAATCGGGATGAAACTTTGGGATGTCGTTAAGTACACATAGAAAATGGTTTATGAGAAAAAATTTAATATAAATTAAGTTTTGATACACTGTGAACCGTGAGTAATACATGCACATAGAAACAGTTACATGTACCAATAAATGCTATCGGTAAAAAAATAGCAGATTCTCTGAAAACCTTACCATCATCATCAAGAACTCTCGTTTTCTCGATCTTTTTTTTCACGGAAATGTCGACAGATGTTCCATCTGTTCAATCAAAAATACCGTTCTGATCAATGATGCTTTTTAATTTATTAATGATTTTAACATTTTGCAAAATGTATTTATAACATAAAATACAATCAATATGCTCAAAACAAAAAATATCGTTAAGCGGCTCTGCGTTTGAGAGAGCTGCATTGTAAAGAATAATTTTAAAAAATTGGAAAACTTGCAAAAGAAACGTAACAATCTGATAACTTCGATTGAATCATGGACCCCGAAATAGTATAACTAAAAACTAATATATTGGAGCTCATTGGACAAATATGTCCATTCTAACATAAATAGCTTTGTTCCACATAATTGAAAAACTTCAACTAACCATCACACGGCCCGTTGTAAAGGACTCTGATGTCAATCTGTTTACGGCACGCTGCCATCTCCAACCTACATTTCGACGCATACCAATGATTATCTGAACCTTTTTCAATAAAAAAGTTGATAAAATAGTTTTTATGCGGAGCTCAGTGGTAATCAGCTTGCACAGAATCAAGCTTTTAACTATATTTAAATTCTTACTTTTTACTAGAATTATGTCACAATTTATGAATGATTTAACTTCAAATATTTTATTAAGTTCTATTATTATTCAACTACCAAATCATCAGCAGTTTCAAATGAAAAACTTTTGTTAACAACACACATATATATATATGCTAACTAATTCATTAATCATTACCATTTAATGAGTTTGAATACGAGCAACCGACAATGATTGAAAATTTACAAACTTTAAAATAGATCTTATTTATCTCGTTCTGGGATTTAAATTTTTTTTTAATGTTTTAAACTTTCAATGGAATTTTCAATCACACCGGTTCAAACTATGTTGATCGTTCATTCAAGTTTATATTAACTCCTTTCATTGTTTGTTTAATTACATTTTCAATGTTTTAAATAGCCGAATAATTTTTAAAAATGTCAAAAATCGTTTTTTTCTTTACAAAAAGAAAACATCAAAGATAAGATGAAAGTAAAAACTAACCACAGACTCCTCCATAGCCATATTTATCATCAGGGGCGCAGTTGTCATCACACACGCATTCAGGTCCGTGCACCCCAACATGACACCTGGCACCAAACTTGCAGTGTACATCACTCGGGCATGGTCTCGATCTTCTGCTGCGATCGTCGCCTAATTATTTCATTTACAAATTTAACTCGCTTCAAATTAAAATAACTCAATCAATTTAATTAACAGCAACAACTTTTTAAAAGATAAATAATATACATTATTATTTTTTGAATTACCACTAAAAAACAAATAATTCAATTTTTTTTCAACCAAATTCGCTTTTCTGCCACGGAATACTTTTGCTTCATTAACTGCTTGACATTTTTCATCTCCCTGCTCCTATCACTTTTTTTTATTCAAATGTTGATTAAAAAATTCGTTTAGTTTCTAGTACGCTTATCACAAGCTGATATTTTTTGAATGTTTTATTTAAAATGAAGGTTGTTTTTTGTATTTTCATATAAGTGGCCAAACACTAAACTTTCAGTTCACTTATTAAAAATTTAGTTATTTATTTTTTTTATTCATTCAACTCCAAGACCTGTTTCATGATTTTGAAGCTTCAAATATAGATTTTGGAATAATATTTATTTTTAATTTCTACATTTTCACCATTTTGACGTTTTGATTAAGATAGCAGAAACATTACCTTTGCACATGGAACCTAAAAAATAACATTCCTTGCTTAATTTCAAATTTTATTGGAAAATTTATAATTTTTATAAAAGTCCTATCGACCCTATCACATTACTGAAGAACAAAAATCGACTTGAAACTTGTTTACCAACGCATCCATATTGGCTGAGTTTCTTTCCGTTAGAACATATGTCGCACTTGTGACCCATAACTCCATTCAAACACAAGCACTGCCCTGTAAATTAAAGTTATATAAAGATTAAATGCGATGACGTTGACAATTTTGAAGCTTATTTAAAATTTTACACTGAAAACCAGCTATTTTGCAATCATAAGAAATAATCATAAAATTTGTCACAAAATATTTTCTTTAAAATATTCTAATTAGGTCTTGATAAAAACATGATGAAGCGGAACAGCTTCGGAAATAACAACACAAAACGATACGATTCCGAGATTTCTGATCAAATTCTGAAAACGACACTGAAATATTTCTTGAAGATGAAAGTTTAATATCTTCAATGAACATGAGTATTTAAGTTGGGCCAGCAACACTTTGATACAATTTTAGAAGCCATCTGATCCATCGGGCTTACAAAAAAAACTAAAAATATCAAAAAAGCATAAAATATTAAACGAGCATTTAACTAAATTCAGGATTTATATTTAATCATTAACGTTATTTTTATGAATATTTTTTATGCGTCGGACATCTGATCACCACGATTTAAAAGATGCAAGATAAAAAAAAATACGACACGAAATAATTTTTTTCAACTTCTCATCCTCACCCTATCAAGATTTTGTTGAACAACTCTATTTTTTAACAATTTTTATCAGGAACTAATTACAATCAATTTAAAGATACTGGAAGAAAATTCCAATTTTTGTTTAAATTTTCCATTCTCTTCAACAAATTTCAACGTTTTATATTATAACGATACGTGACACAAATTTTGTTTAACATTTTTGAAATTTCGATGTGAGATTCGCATAATGATATATCGTATCGCTAAATAATTTTGAATTATAAAGAAAAGAATGATTGAAGACTGAGATGATTCAGTCAAAATTTTGATTTAACGAAGTTGATATATCAGAAGGACGGGACTAGGAAAGTACCTTAAAAATATGGGCTTTATATATGTTTTGCTTTGTTTATTTGAGAAAATTATTTGTTGCCTTTCGGTCGTAATAAGCGTTTGTAACATTAGCAGTTTACTCTTTACTGTAATCTCTCTTATGTTTGAAAGCAATATGTGATGCGTTAGCAACTATGACGCTTCGGACATTCTTACTTTTTGTCTTCAATATAACCATTTTTTTGTTCTTCTTAAAAAGTTGTAATTAAATAATCAAAACTTTATTTTGTTATCTAATTACAACCTTTTGGTGAGGAAGATGAAATAACTTACAACAGAAGAACAAAATTTTCGTTTTTTTGAAGAAAATAAAAAAAAGTTTACAACTAGAGAGAATTTTAAAATCCATACATTTTATGTCATATGCGATAGTATTAAAATCAATTGTTACAGATAGATCAAAAATATGAAGTTGTTTTTGAACTTTTTTGTATATTTCTAGAGTGGAATTTGTAGGAAGAAAAAATTGAATCACTGAAAGAATTTAAAAAAATGTAATGAAATGACATTGATGTTTGTAATTTAGAAGATGAACTAAATCATTTTTTAAGAAAAATGAGGACGTTTTTAAGAACAAACCAGATAATTCAATAAGTAACAAAGATAAAAAGCCGCCAAAGAAATGTTTCCAAATATTGAAATATTATTGAACATTTTTCTAACTATTCCTTTATCTAATGCATCAGGTGAAAGTTATTTTTCTGTTTTGAAGAGAATTAAAAATTATTCCAAGAGTACAATGGGGGATCAAAAATTAAATAATTTAGCAGTTTTGTACATAGAACAAGAAACATTGAATCGTATCGACACAGCAATAATTATTGATGAATTCGAAATAAGTAAATCCAGAAAGAATTTTATTTGAAAAAAATTTGTTTGTCGGCTATTATTTTTAAATTATTTCTTGTAATTTCCCTTTCTAATTTAATTATTGTTAAACATATATTTGCAAAAACTTTAAAATTTATAAACTTTGAACATTGCACATTTGTAAAAATAATTCAATACCATCATCACCATTATCAGTGTTTATCGGCGTCACTCCCCATTTATGGCTCCTCCAGGGCCTAAAGCCTCTGGTTCGCCTTTCTCCTATGGTGCACACCTCTTCTGAGACACACTCTTCAAACCTTTGTCTAGCGACACTCAGGCTCCAGGCTTCTTTGTTCTGCCTCACAAGTTTAAAGTTTAGATCTATAAAGTTCTTTAATGTCTCAGCCATCCTTGCTTCACATTCTTCTATTTTTATTAAATCACCTTGAAATGCAGTCAAATGAAAAATCTTTCGATTCAATAACTTATTATAAATATTTTTTATATTATGTACAGAATCAAATAGCAAAAAGATAGGTTCGCTGTTGTATTTGTTAGTAATATAATTTTTAAGTATACCAGAACACATAATTAATAAATAAAACTTTTAATTAACTGCTGCATTATCAACAGTTATACCAACAATTGTAACATTCTGTTGATGAAGCATAACCATTACTTCTTGAAAACATTCATCAAAATATGATGATATCAATTTACTGACAGGTAACGTAACCAGCATCACTTATGCCTGTGTTTGTTTTAACTTTGCTAGTCAATTTTCTTAAGGTTTTTACAGATGGCAAACACAAGTCATTTTAACCTGTGTAACAACTGACAGTAAGCAGCGTGACTTGTGGCTTAAATCAGATACGACCACACAAGACAGTTAAATTAAGATTATTAAAATAATATTAAATTATTTAATTATCAATTTCATTTACATGTTTATTCCTTTATTTAATCTTGTTTTAAAGATACGTTTCATATGTTTTTTAAATCTTTTTAAATTGTTTCACACCATTGTTAAAACCCAATATAATTTCAATATTTACTTTAATATTATTTTAATAATCTTAATTTAATTTCATCTTAAAATATTAAATCCAGCTCCGACGATGGCTAAATAGCCGAAACAGCGCTGTCAGTTAATTACAACATTAATTAAATTATGACATTAAATAAATACGAGTATAAAAATTTACGTCGTTTTTAATAACTAAAAATAATTGCAACATTTAATATTTTCATTATATTTTTTATTTTTAATATATTTATTGTTACATCATTTATTAAAGTTGTTCAATATTAATATTTACATATTTCATATAAGCTTAATAAAAACATCTAGGGAGTAAAAGTAAATTTTTACTACGTGCATCATGCTGGTTCAAGTTGACAAAAGAGGTCGTCTACAACGGTTATGTACGATGGTACGTGTTCAAGCTTTGAAATGTTTAAATGCTCGCAGAGCTCGCCAAGATGAAAATCTTTTCAAAAACTACTTTTAAAATACTTTGTAATAAATAAAAAAAAATTTGCATTTTTTAAGTACCTAAAATTAAAATCCGCCATAACGTTAACATTAATTATTAGTTGGAAAGCGGACACAACTGGACTAAGTCAAAGTAAAATTAACATAAAAAGTAGGTAAAACTGACCACTGTTCTGATCGCAATCCAATCGTTTGGAACCATACTGATTGCAGTGGCACGCTGTCAGTAAAATTAGCATTATATATATATATATATATATATGTGTGTGTGTGTGTGTGTGTGTGTGTGTGTGTGTGTGTGTGTGTGTGTGTGTGTGTGTGTGTGTGTGTATAATGGTATGGTTACAAATACAGTCGGAACTCCGTATAACAAACTTGATGGTTCTAAGAAAAAAATTCGTTATATAAAAATTTCTTTTTATATAATTGGTTCGGAAAAAATTCTTCATTACATAAAAAGTGTTTATATGCTATATATTTATGAAAAACAATCTATCTTCCAATCATTTATTTTGACAACAAAAAGTAATAATACTGGTAAAATTGTAAAAAATAAAATTTTAAAAGTGAAATTTATTCTTTGTTCCATGCAACGATGAATCGAGGTAGAATTAGCAAAAATTACTAGAATAAGAAACAATAAATATGGCTTTAAGATATTGAAAGATTACAAAAACACCGCTCATATCAATTCATAGAATGTTATCTGGTTGGATTTCTTTCAACTTTTATAAATTTTGTTCGTTATAGAGAATTATTTTTGTTTTATAGAAACAGTTTTATATGTAAAATTTTAATGGACATAACAAAATTTTGTTATATTGAGATTTGTGTTGTATAGAAGTTCTCAAAAAGGAGGTACGACTGTATATAACGAGCAATGAACACGCGTAGGAAATAAATAAATAAATATGATTTTTATAAAATTTATACTATTTGTGATATTGAATAATATAAAATGAAAGAATAAATTAGAATAAAGTTTAACTGATGTGTTGCTCTTCAGCTTCAACATGATCGAACTGTCGCTAAATAAAACAAGCCAAATCTTAATTTGATAAGTAAAATAAAATGAATGAGACGGGTTTGTGCACTGTCGATAAGATTACGTATTTTTTATGCACCTCATTGTCACGGTTAACTTCTATTCAAAACTTCAAACCTCAACTTAATTTTACAGAAGCAATGAAAATTAAAAAATCTAACGAAGACATCCTTCATTAGAATGCTGAATGTTGTGCATCCCCCAGTAATTTGCATTGCATCGGTCACACTGAACTCCAACGACATGTGGTCTACAGAAACATTGAAGGGTCACCGGCTGACAAGAAGCATTGTATGATCCAAGTTTGTTGCAGTTGCATCTGTCTGGGAGGTTAATAAACAATACTTGCAGATTATACAATAAAAATAATGAAATATTTATAAAATAATTAAACTGTTTTATTCTTTCTTTTTATGTTTTTATCTGGTTTCTACAATTAATATAATATTTCAATGAATTTGTCCACCTTATCTAAATATTAATTAAAAATTGCGTTTGATTTAAATTTTGTGACAAACGGCCACTTGGTTTGGTTTCAAAGCTTTTTATATAATATAAAACTTATTGTAAACTAATTATAAACATTAGATACACACATACTTTATACTACACATACATAATATATCGTGTGCGTATAATCTAGCGTTTTCTCACTCACTCACTCACTCACTCACTCACTCACTCACTCACTCACTCACTCACTCACTCACTCACTCACTCACTCACTCACTCACTCACTCACTCACTCACTCACTCACTCACTCATTCACTCACTCACTCACTCACTCATTCACTCACTCACTCACCAACCAATGCTCTTTCTGGAGACGTCTACCCAATCTCAAAAATGCGGCACCAGCCTATGCGAGCCTGGTTGTGTTGTCACTATCAGTTGTATTTGAGAGTAACTGCAAATATAACCAAATCTATTGACCGCATTCAACTGCAAGCTGTCTGCTGATACTGTGGCTGTTGAATCAGGTGAGATTGGGTAGCTTTCATGTAAGGATGTAAGGCCTCTGTTTTTTTTTGTTTTCTTCAAAATTACTGTAAGTCCAAATCTTTTAGCAGCCGCATGAAAACAACACACACACACACACCACACACACACACGCACACACAAACATACATACACCTAGACAATTCATTCATTTATTTCTATTTATTCAGTCACTCATTCCTTCATTCATTCATTCATGTTGTTCGTATAGATGTCCAAGGGTCGGTGCATCAATTATGGACTCTGATAGCTTAATGGAACCTAACACAATATGCTAATCATCCCTTAGCAGCCACATATGCTCCCCTTACAAATTTTGGAAATGCTTCTAATAAAGCAAAGGCCTGTTTGCGCATGGGTTATGAATGAGCGATAGGTTAAAAAATATTCTGTGCACTAATAAAAAACATGACATCGTAAACTAATTAAAATTACATTCAAAAAAATTTGTGTTAAAATAAAAAAATTTATTAAAATTTTTCAAGTTATCATTATGAAAAAATTTTAACAATAAACAAGATTTTTTAATTGTGAGATACGGTGTCCAAAAAATACTTCGCAGGAAAATTCTTCGCAGGAAAATTTATCGCAGGAAAATGCTTCGCATGGGAAAATCTTCGCAGGAAAATTTTTGGCGGTTTCCACCAGCGAGATATTGTTCAAATTTTTTTTTCGTTTTGTGCTTGTTCATTCTTTAAGCCAATGATAAATTTCATTAACAGTTGGGTGACCAGCTTCAATTAATTCACCAAAGCCTCTCTGCCATCCTTCGCAAGAATTATTAGTTTTGGGAGTGCCCACTAATGCAGCATCATAACGATTCCATAGTTCGTATCGAAAACGGGGAAGCCTTCTTTGACAACGATTTGGACGTTCAATCCATGTGTCCTCAAAGTAATCTACGATTGGTGTACCCCTTCAGCTGGAAATTCCCTTGATAGCCGTTCAAACTTTTCATCAATATCAGCTGGGGCTACAATGGCAAGGGCCGAGAGCATCCACATCTTTAGAGCAAATTCAGCATCTGTTTCATAACGTCGTTGAATATCATTAGCTTGAATGTTACACCAAATGAACTGGCTGAAGTGGAAAAAACAGCTTTTTTGTCTCAAAGCTGGAAATGTGTCACCAAAAGCATTAATAGCTGACAGTTCAAAGTCGGTCATAATCAAAGCTGGAGCTAAATTGAGCTGTAAACAAATAAGCTGATTAAGGCAATTGGCCAACGACTGGTTGTGATAAACTAACAAATACATCCGTAATTATCCGATGAGTGGCATTCTGCGTTGTTTTTGCTTTACCTTTGATCACATTGACTACCCTCCCTGCTAGGATTCTTGCAACATTTGCAGCATGATTACGCGTACCTATCCGTTTTAAAATTTCAGTATCGTCTGAATGTACTCGGGCTCGACAAGGGTACGTTGAAATTCGCTTCATTTCCATAAAATTTTTTGATCTGTAGCTCTATCCTATATGTGTAACCATTTCTACTCATTTTCCCTTACTTTTTTTGCTTATCAAATATTCGAGAGATATATTGTCAGAGAAGTATTAAAACGAAAATTTATTAAAAATACAGAAGAATTTTTGAAATGTCGGTAAAAACACCCCATTCACATAATACTAACCATTACATTTGTAATCTTCTAGCGATTAATTTTTGGCAAATAGTTCTTTTAAAACACAGTTAATCTCGCAGAAGTTTTTAATTGTGAATGAAAACGGTAACCAGACAAAAACCCCCGGCAAAACCCGTGTGCAATAAACCCCAGAACAAAAAACCACACGCTAAAGAATGGTCCAAAAGACTCACAACAACAAAAAAGCACACGTTAAAAAAGAGAACTAAAACACTTCGTAGCAGTAATTTTTTTACTTCTGAGCCATTTATCAAGATTTAATAAATCTATCGGGAGTTATATATTTTTTGTTAAGGGGTGTATTGCACCGAGAATTTTTGTCTGGGAGGATTTTTGACTCGAGGGTATATCGTACGGGGAGTTTGTCCGGGGAGTTTTTTGCATTGGGTGTTTATTGCACAGGGGAATTTTGTCTGAGGAATATTTGTCAGGGGTTTTATGTTCGAGAGATTTTTTCGGGTAGTTTTTGTCCGGAGTTTTTTGTTCAGGAGCTTTTTGTCCGTTGTGTTATTTGTCAAGGGTTTTTTGTTTGGGGTTTTTTTTTGAGAGGTTTTTGTCCGGGGATATTTGCCCGAAAGTATTTTGCTCCGGTGGTTTATTTTTAGGGGGTTTTTGTCCTAAAATCAATGAAAACACCCCAATCACACATAAAAATTTTAATCATCTATCGAAATGTTTTCTGGCGAAAAATGTTCTGGGGGAGAATTTTCCCGCGAAGAATTTTCCCTGCGAAGAATTTTCCTACAAACAATTTTTTCGCGAAGAGTTTTCCGCGAAGCATTTTCCGTAAATTGTGAAATACGTGTTGAGATACTGGTGTCATTTGTTGTTTTAATAACACCATCATTCCATCTAAATTTTCAAAATAAATGTTGTTTTGTGCATTCCGCTTATATTTGCAATACTGCATTTATTTTTCATTACATTTAAAAAAATGAAACATTAAATAAAAATTAGGGCACAGTATAAAAAAAGTTCGAGTAAAAAAATAATTACTTACCGGGACAGCCCAATTGGTCGGGCCCGGCAGCCAGTGTGGACCCATCTGAGCAACAGCCGTACGTACTCGTCATGCAGTTGTAATCTGCTGCTTGTCCTGCGTAATTTATTAAGTCATTCACCAATTATATTCATATTTTGGGATCCGTACAATAAAATAATAATCACGGGTTCAATATAACAACATAGATATAAGAAATACATTATTTTTCTTTATTTAACTACAATATACATAATTCATCAAACTTTAAAGGCTTGTATATAGAATTTAACATATATAGGAGATTCTTTATTATCGTAACATATACCATGTAAAAGGGGGCCGTAATAATTTTATAGTTGATCAGAAGTTCGTGCAGCTCCTTCCACAATGAAATCTAATAAAGCACCAGGCCCAGATAAGATAGTTGCTGAAGAAAATAACCGCGTTGATGAATTTGACATTGAAAAAGTGTCAGAAATTTTGAATGAAATATATAACAGTGGCAAAATTTCTGAAGATCTACCCAAGTCAATATTTAATGCATTGCCTAAAAAGCTTAGTGTAACTGAATGTGAACTACATCGAACAATCAGCTTGTTGAGTCATCTTACAAAACTTCTCTTGAGAGCACGAAGCAAAATCAGATCTGAAATTTCAAATGTCCAATGTGATTTTATCGAGGATTGTGGCACAAGAAATCTTTATACTACGAATTATCAGTGAACGAGTGAATGAAATGAAGAAAGACTTGTTTATATGTTTCGTTGATTACTCCAAAGCTTTTGATAGCGTGAAATACGTGAAACTCATGGAAATACTGGAAAATTCGGACATTGATGGAAAAGACACGATAGTTATCAATAACCTCTATTGGAACCAAAAAAAGCAATGAAAGTTGGTAACAAGATGACTAATTTTGTCAAAATAAAAAAATGATAAGAAAGGATGTGTATTCTCTTCAGACCTGCACAATCTCTATTGTGAGATCATCATGGGAAAGATAGATCTACCTGAAATATCTATTTGAGGCGTGAAATTAAACAATGTATTGGATATGCTGATGATACGGCTTTTATAGCAGATTCAATGGAAAAATTGAAAACAATTGTTTCTAAACTGGTTTCTAAAAGTGAAAAGAAAGACTTGCAAATAAACATAAAAAAAACGAAGTGCATTGTTATCAGTAAAATCAAAACCACCCGATTTGCTCCCTGATCATTAATGGTAATCAGGTGAAACAAGTAAACAGCTTCAATTATCGCGAAAGACTGATTACCTCAGATTGTAAATGTGATATGGATATCAAACGAAAGAACGAAAGATAGGTATGGCTAAAGATGCATTTTCTAAAATGAAAAACATCCTCACTAACAATAAAATCAAAATATCAACAAAATTAAAACTGTTAGGATGTTGCATTTTTCCTGTGCTAACTTACGGCCCTGAGACCTGGAAAATTTGTAAAGAAATGTAAAAAAAACATTAACGCTGCTGAGATGTGGTTTTTTAGAAAAATTATGATAATTAGTTAGACTTTCATATTTCGAATGAGGATGTATTAAAACAGTCCTGTTATGAAAAGAGAAAATTACAACAGATAATCTGATGAGTGCAGTTAAAGTTTTTTGGTCACATCATGCGGAAGGAAGAATGGAAAATCTAACAATTTCTGGAAAGATTGCAGGAAAAAGAGATCGCGGTCAAAAACGAACAACATTCGTAAAGTCCTTTTGTCACTAGTTGAATATTACAACATTTCAACTCTTACAAAGTGTTAAAGATTGGGTTTTGTGAAGGTCGATGATCGCCAATATCCTGAAAGAATAAGACACGAGAAAGAAAAAAAAATAATTTTATGATCTTTGATATTTCCGCCATCTAATTCCAAAAGTGAATTTTCGATATATTATTTATTTATTATTTATAGTAAATTATTTATTTTAATTATTTAGTTTATTTATTTATTCAAGTAATTAATTATTTTAAAAAGTAAAAAATTTAAAAAACTAATAAAACTAGTCTTCTTTCTCGTGTGTTTGGGTGTGTATGGTTCATTTGTGTTTGTAGAAAAAATTGATTACATTTTCCTGATATGAATGCAAAAACTATCAATACTATACTATAACAATTACAAAAAAATGTTAATGTACTTTATTCGTGTCATATTCAGTCACTAGACTTTTAACAATTCGTTAATGTTCATAAAACTAAAGTCCTAGTTTGTTTAACGTTTTTCATTGTATAGAAAAATATTGTTATAACCGACTTCTTGAACTTGTAGGATATGGTTATTTCTTTCTACGTGGGTTTTTGACTCCTGAACAGATTTATTTCAGAAGAACTTTATCAGAAAAAAACAGTGTTGGCAATCACTTGTGTGTGCTGTGATCAACCACTCGTTTATTCCATTGTTAAAATCGTTAAAATACAGGACAATAACTAATCGACAGATAAATCACGGAATACAACCAATCGCCAATAATTAAATCATCAGACTAATTATATTGAGTTCTCCTAACCCTGGCGTTTTTTACTGCAGTGGGTTTCCAGCTATCAAAATCTTACTTCCGTCAACAGTGTGTAATTTCTTGAAAATCCCACTTTTAACACCGGCGTTGTAACCTCCTCGACCTCGTAATTATCAACACCGATGTTATAGCTGCAACACTCGCTATATCTCCAACACCGTATTGCAGCTTCCAACGATAGTCAAGAGTTCGTTTATCCGTAGGTTTAAGATTTCCGATAGATAAACACAACTCTTTTAAACGCAAACTAAGTTGAACGTTTATTTAATACCAGCAGTAACAGAAACAATAGATTAATCCAAATAACTACGTAAATCGCATTTACGACTTCTACTTCAACTGTGTTCCGTCTTCTTATTGTAAAACGAGTGAAAAAACATTGTAAATTTCAAGCAAAAATGTTTCAGTGTTGTGGGCAAGAGGGAAAAAATTTAATGACGGCCGTCAAAAGAAGTTATAGGTTAGTTAAACAAACGAAAACGGGAAGAGTTTCATTATTTCAGATGGAAAAGTTTAAAGAAAGATTTTTAAGCAAATAAATAATAAATATTACAATATGACTGATTATGTGTCGATATGATTATTTTAAAATAGTGAAACATTTAACCGAATAAAAGACACTTGATTGCAAACCGAAACCGCAAAAAAGTTGAAATTATTAAAAAGTGAAATGAGATACCTACAATCAAAAACTTGGACAAACCATAATTATTTTTTACACGAACAGATCGATATGCTGGATACTTCATGCATTTTTCAGTAACGCGTTACAGGATGCCGGAAAAATTAGCTTTTTGAATGTATTAAAAATAAAACTATCAAAATATTTCATTAAACAAATCGCAATTACGAAGGCGAATATTTTTAACAAGTTTTCAGTCAGTTTATAATTTTGTACGTGTTAATGACTCAATTTAAACTTTTCTGTATTATGACCGCGTATATCAGCAATACTTTGTATATAGAAAAAATATTTTAACCATTCAAGTCAGCTAAACAGCATCTTCCAGTGGAGCCAATGAAATGGCAATAACTTGGCTCAGGACATTCTTTTTCGTGAGAACAATTGACTAACTGATTAGTTGTTTGATCGATCATAGGTTGCAAGCCATCGCAAAATTCCTCAAAAAGATCTTTATGACGTTTTATGAAATTAAAATTATAAAAATAAGTACAAATTTACTTGATACGACAGCATAAACTAATTAAAACATTATTGCACAACAGATAAAAATATTTAACTGCGGCAATCAAAAAAATATTAAAAAGCAACATCTACCCGCGCAGTTTCCGTCTCTTTCAACGTACAGAAAAACTTGCTTAATACAAGAATACTCCCTCATTTCACATTCGTTTGCATACGTTTGTCTGTCTGAACCGCAAACTGGTGATCTTAAAAATTTTTTACTTCTATAATAACGGTAACCCAAATGTCTCATTATGATTAAATAAAATTTGGTATAACACATCATTTTCGTTCATAATTAATATGCAACTAGAAAATTCATTTATCGACGTTAGGAATCAAAACAACAAGTTTAACTGGTGAACATTCCAACAATTCGGTTGCATCGCATCCAACTTACCTCAGAGCGCCACAGTTGAATTGACAAATGCATGAATATTTCCCTTCCTTGTTCACTCCACATTTTCCACCGAATTTGCATGTCTCTTTCGAGCAATCACCTTCTTTTCTTCTCGTGCGATTTATCTTCTTTTGCGCTTAAACATTTCAATTTAAAGACATCATTTAATCATCTTGGTTGGCGAGTTAGCTCAAAAGGTAAAAGTGCCATGTTTCCTGTTGTTACTGCACAATGACCTGGTCCGAATACTGTCTGTCTAGAACCATCATACGCCATGCGCCTATTGCGTGCGACGTGTGTGTACACGTTACAGCTTTGGTACAAACATAATTATAGAATAAAAATAAAATGCAAGAATTTCTGCGCAGGTCAGAAAAATTATTTAAGAACAATTAAGAAAATAAACGAAAAAGGAAAATGCTTGCATCAAACCATGATATATAAGCTAATAATTGTAAAAACGAAATAAGTTAGCGAAAACATAATTGCATTTCGGCTTCGTTGTGTTCCTAAAGGTATCTGGAAAACATTTGATTTTAAATCAAAATTTACAAAAATATTTTTAGTTTTAATGTATAAATGAAAAAAACAACTAGATTGAACGCTAGAGAAAAAAGTTGGGAAAATTCTTCTTAGCAGCTTGACAAGTAAAAGTCTAGAAAAGTGACCGCTGAATAACGATTAACAGACATATCGGAATTATAAATGGTTTATGAAATTAAGCATATCAAATTTAAAAAGTTTATGAAAAAGTAAAAAGAAACTAGATGATGAGCATCGATAATAGGAAGCTAAATTTTACAAAACATGAACTGAAACTTACTTTTAGATTTTCCTTTGTTTTTATTTTCAACATGGGAATTATATTTCTCTACCTCATTGTCCCGTATTTCACGACCACTTGCATCGTCGGATGTATCATCAAACTCACCAGACCCTTCATCATCGCCTTCGCCATCATCATCACTGTCGTCAAATCCACTACCACTGCCACTGCCTTCGCTTCTAGTGGTGGTAGTGATAAGAGCTGCAGTGGTTGAGGTGGTATCTGGGCGGCTGGTGCTGACGACTGCCGATGTTGTGATGGGAGAATACGTTTGACACGGTCCATCATCAACATCAATGTGACTTCCTTTCAAACATTCAGCATGTTTCAGTGTACATCGCGTGTACGTTATCCCACTGGATCTATCGCAAAATAAAATAGTGGAGAGAAGATCGTTTGAATGATCGCACTGGTCGACACATTGACACTTGCCATCCTTGCACACTGCTCCATAGTAACACACCACTCCTAGACACTTGTCTTTAAAAAATATTAAAAAATGATACATATATTGACAAAAATATTTGATAGATTCAAAATTTTATTGCCATAACCCATTAACTTACCACATCTGCCAACGTGCATAACAGAAAGCTTAATGTGACCCTTGCAAGCCATCATCATCATGTCGCATTCACTCGGGTATGTCATGCCGTTGCTAGCACAAATTTCTGTTGTTATCTTGCAATACAAAATTGATTTATAGCAAAATTGAACAAAATGACTTGGTAGTCAGGATTGATTCGAAAAAAAATAAAACGGATAGAAAATATTTAGTCAACAAAAATAAAGCAAAAAATTAGCACAAAAAATTAATCAAACATGTAAAAATAATAAACAATGATATATCTAATAAACAGAAAAATAAAGTTATCACAACAACAAACAAAAAACTAAAAAGGATGTAGATTTATAATTTTTAAAAATTTATCAATAAAAAAATGATCAGACAGGACAGTAACTCACATTAGACGAACAGGAGAAAAAACATTCACACAGACCAGTGGCGTTGTTGCATGCTTCGTGTTCATTGCATACTACACCTCGGCACAAATCTATCCACCAAACATTCAAATATCTATTAAAACTAACAAATAAAAATTTAAATGTACGCTAGCTCAGTCATATAATCGTCATAATTACCTTAACCCTTAACATACCAAGGGGGGTCCTTCAAGGACCCCAGAGAGTAGTTTTCCTTAACCCTGTCAAAAGTAACCAAACAAATTCCACCACGATTTTTCTATTCCTCTCGATTAGGGTAGCAATAAATATTCCATTGTTGTTTTTATTATACGTTATTTCAAAAACAGTAAAAAAAATAAAAAAGCAGGACCCCGCTTGGTACACTATGTTACCGATTGTGTTTTTGTTTTTTAACACTTATGGCTGAAATCGTAGACACATTTTAAAGGTTTCAGTATTAAAAAGTATTATTCTGCATTTTTACTGAATATTTGCTCATCTTACTTACTTTTAATTTGTCCTCCATTTGCAAAACTTCCGTTGAAAATTATTATTTTCTGTTTCAAATAAAGTTTATAATTTGCTGTAAAGATTTTGATAACATAAAATATAAACGTAAACGTTTGAAAATAAGAAAAATGGCTCGTAGACAAACTACAGATGAGATTCTCCGAATGTTAGATGAATGTGAAATCAGTGACAGTAACCCGGAAGATGTATTGGAACAATCTGATGAAGAATTTATACCAGCAGGAGATGCATCAGAATTGGAGGACAATCTTGAAGTAAATTCTGATGTAGTGACAGTGCTAGTGAAAATTCGGATACAAATTCGGATGAAGATGAATTCACAATAAAATCAGGTAGAAGATGGACAAGTTCTGTGCCACCATCATCTCGCCGTCGTCAATATAACATTGTCAAGGGATCACCCGGGCCAACACGCGCAATTAATGTTGCATCGACGATATCTGAAATTTTCAAATTTTCAACTGGTTCTTTGACAACCGAATTGTGGATGCTATATGCACCTTCACCAATGCTGAAGCTTCTAGAGATATTAATGATTTCAATGCAACTGCTGATTCGAATAAACAGAAAGCTTGGACAGATGTAGACCCTGTTGAAATAAAAGCATTTTTTGGTGTTCTGCTGATTGCTGGAGCTCTTCGCTGTAGAAAGGGAAATATTTCTGAAATGTGGACGACAGATATATATTCGTCGTGCTGTTTTTACTGCTGCCATGGCATGAAACAGATTTGCACTCATCCTTCAATTTATCAGGTTTGACGACAAATTACCACGTGCTCAAAGTAGAACAACTGATAAACTTGCAGCTATTCGTGAAGTTTGGGATTGGTTTGTAATAAATTGCCAAACGCTTTTTACGCCAAATGTCCGATGAGGCAGTACATGAAATCAAAACCAGCAAAATATGGAATAAAAATATGGGTGGCCTTCATATTTGTACAACTTACAAGTCTACACTGGAAAGCTTCCAGGAAATGCACCAGAGAAAAATTTAGGACACCGCGTAGTATGTGACTTGGTGGATCTGGAAGAGGTGTCACTACAGACAATTTTTTTTTACATCCGTGAAGACTGCAGAATTTTTGCTGCAAAAAAGCATCACCATGACAGGAACATTGAGAGCTAAAAAAACTGATATTCCTGCAGTTATAGAAAATGCAAGAGGACGAGACATACTTTCATCAAAATTTATATTTTCTAACGGGGTAGCGGTAGTTAGCTATGTCCCAAAGAAAAACAAAACAGTCCGTTTACTCTCAACTCAATCTCTAGATAATTCAGTATCCTCTGAAAGTCACAGGAAGCCCAACATGATACTGGAATACAATAATACTAAGGGTGGAGTGGACAATGCAGATAAATTGGTTAGAGAATATTCTTGTGCTAGACAAACCTCAAGATGGCCTCTAAGACTTTTCATGAATATGCTCGATATTGGTGCCCTGAATGCCTTCATAATTTGGATGTCGAAAAACAATGACTGGAATAGACATATGAAGAATATTAGATATCAATTTTTGTTAGAATTAGGCAAAGAACTGACCAAACCCAACATTCTACGTAGGGCAACCAATCTAAATGGTCTCCACCTTCCAGTTGTCAAAGCAATTGAAGCTGCAGGAGTAGTTGTAGCACGCAACACTACAACCCAAAATATACCATCAGCATCAAGGCAGCAGCAGATCAAAAGGGGAAGATGTTCCTACTGTCCCAGAAACAAAGACAAAAAAGTTAACACAGTCTGTGTGTGGAGAATGTAAACGTTTTGTCTGTGAAACACACAGGAAGACAATCACCACTGACATGCGCCAAGGATTGCAGGGATAGCAACCAATGATTGATATATATAAATTTATAAATATAATATATACATACATAACATTTACCTATTTTTATTATAATAAATTTTTCATTATATTATTTTAAACGGATGAAAATTTTGAATAATCGATGAAAAGATAAATCAATTATGCTCAGAATACTTGTTTTACTAAAAAATATCTTAAAACACCCAATAATCATCAAATAACTGAGAAATATCAAAAAATAATTGGGGTCCCTTGAGGACCCCAGCTTGGTAAACAATGTTGATGACATTGGCTTGGTATGTTAAGGGTTAACTGAGGTAATTAAGGTATCTGTCATCACCATCATCATCTTCCTCTTTTTCATCATCATCGTCATCATAATTGGCTTAACCCTATCATTATATTTCCTGATGTAATTTTTTTTAATTTTTCCCCGTTTCCTCCGTGTCATTTTAAATTTTAATTCCTTATAATATAATATAATTTTCAAAACTTGTCTAAAAAAAGATTGTAAGATGACTGACCGCATGTAAAAACTATTTCCGCAATATATAATTGGTTTGGCGCGTAATAAATTATTTATTATTTAACAATGTTAACACTACGTAGAACTTTCGGTTGACCTGCTTATTTACCGTCCTGTGCACATCTGAAATATTTTACCGCAACAAAAAAAAAACAAAACATAGCTTATTCACAGTAAATAACAAAAACTCTTAACATGCATACATTAAAATAGCACTTAAGTAAAATAACGGTGTAAAAAGTTATTTTATATTTCCGTGACGGCTCAGATGCTATTTACAAACACAACCCTGGAACAACGTGTGAGCGACTTTATACTAACAGGCCAGAGTTTATCAAAACAAATTAACTATTATATAAAAAATTCATAATAGTTAAAGTACATCAAAAAACCTGAATAAAAAATAATTGTTATTATTCTATCAGTGAATTAGTATAAAATGTAATTAAAAATAAAACATTAGTCTAAATTACGACAATTTAACAAACGCTGAACAAACAATAAAACAAAAAGAATTGGAAGTCAAATTAAAAAAAATACAAACCACACGGTCCCTGGTGCAGTAGTTGTACGTCAACATTCCGAAGACATGAATCCCTTTTCATGAAGCACTCGTTAGAATACGTTACATAGTTACTGCCACATACCTTTAGTTAATTTCAATATTCATTTTAGTTGTTTTTATGAAAACTAACCAGAAAAATAATAATATTTCTTATATTTTTGAACATGTATAAATAAAAATATAAAACTTTTTTGTTTTTTTTTAACTTTTTGCTTCTCAAGTTTAAATTTTAATTACTTATACTTCATTTTACATATTTACAAAATCACTTTATTTAACTTCGTTTCACCAATTCATTTTTTTCTTACTATCGAAGTAACACTCTGCTATATTTTATCTTAAATTTACCTATCGCTCTTATAATTGTTATCAACTCATTTTACATACATTGCTTAAAAGTGCTTACTTACAGTGCCTTACTATAAACACCCAATTAACTAATAAGTGCGGTTTGTATATATATATATACATTAATTATATTTATACATTTATCCATCCATCCATCCATCCGTCCTTCCATCCATCCATCCATCCATCCATCCATCCATCCATCCATCCATCCATCCGTCCATTGATATTTTTTTGATTTTTGTACATTAGAAAGGTTGCATAGTTTGACCAAAAGTTTTTGATGAAATGTTGCTCAGATTTAAATTTTTCGCTAACCGATGCATAAGGTTCTGCAGATACTTAATCTAATGACTTGTGCAACAAAATGCAAATTTTTCAAGCATCATCACAGACGGTCTTGTCTTTTCTTATTGTAATACGTTTAACTTACGATCGTGAATTAAATACTTCTTTTTCAAATGTCGCGGTCAGTCTTCCTATTAGCTTTGATAACTCCAATCCCTGTTGCATTGGGAGAATATTTTTCAGAGTTGAAGTTGATAAAAAATTATTTGAGAACTACCATGACGCCGAAACGTCTAAACACTCTGGCAACGATTTCTGTTGAACAAAATATTGTCCAGTCTTTTTGAACTATTCACAACTAATTGATGATTTTGTCTCCATCAAAACATGAAAAATAAATTTTCGTTAAGAGCCTAGACTGAGATTTAAACGCTGTTTATATTCAAGTTATTCGTTGATTCATTAATTGACGCGGATAGAGTTTTAATACATTGCCTAGATTTAACATTTCAATTTTATTTATATATTCTGTGGTAATATTTCTAAGTGAAGATAAACTTTTGGTATATATGTTTCATTTCTCATATTAAATTCTTTTAAGTGTAATTTATATAAGACTAAAACATCTTTTTTAAAAAATCTTATTTTGGTGAATTAATTTTATATATCTGATTTTTAAATTAATCGCAGTACTAAAACGCATTTAGGTTGAAAATTTTAAAATATATAAAATTTTCTGATGTATAGTTTTTTTTAATATTTTATTTAGGGTCACTAAATTTTTTGCCAAAGGCCTCCAACTATCTAATACCGGCCCTGATGAAACATCCTAACATTATCACAACATCATTGTCTTTAAAGTGAATCAAAAAACAAACTCAATTTTTTTCAAATCAAAAAACGAACTTAATTTTTTTTTTACAAATTTCTAATATTTTTCGGAGTCGAGTTGCAAAAATCTCAAACTCCAACCTACTTTGACTTCAACACTTCATGGTAAACTATATAGTTATTTATAAAGTTGTATTAAAATTTACTTAGGCTATTTAAAAAAAAACAATTATTGCAAACAAGTCAGACCTCTTGCAAATAGGGTGGACAAAGAGGACAGACACACTCAATAACGTGACCATCTTTCAATGAACAACGACCTCCTCGGTCGCATGATGTACTCTTGCACGAATATGCATCATCTGATAAAATTTTTATAACTAATTAAATATAAATTTTTTTCTGAAATTGTTAATATTAAAACAAAAATTTTAAATATTTGATAAACAGGGTACGTGGCTTCATACAATTTGTGCTGAGCAGGAACAAAGGAAAAACGTAACAAAGCATAAAAAATTGATTTAAAGCTAATAAAAAATTGCATTAGCAGATTATACAAATTTAAAAAAAAAAACAAAAAAATCCCTGAAACAGCAGAATAAATTTTGTTAAGCCGCATAGAACAGATAAACAAAACTTATTGTTTTGAAAACTTCTGTACAAGTCATTTAAGTGTTTTGAAGAAATAAAAAAGTATACTTTGATTAATATTCCAGCAGATTTAAAGTAAAGGTTTAAAATCGTTTTGCCGAATTTGAATGGACAGATAAGAAACCAGAACAGATGTGGACAGAAATGAAAAATATTTTTTCTTGAAGAGGCAGATAAGACCAAGTCGCAGTAATAACAAAATTCACAATGGCTCACACAATCTAATCTAGGCGAAACAGGCAAAAAAATTATGTTTTCAGAAAGTTTAATGCAAAATTTAAAGACTTACAAAAAAAGATAAAAAACCAGAAGACAAGATATGTAAAAAGATTGATGACATGAACACGATAGGAAAATCACGAGACATTTAAAAAATTACAAAATGGATAAATGTAAATTATACACAAAAAAAAATGACTTTTTTTAACTGGTTTATTCATGAAAAAATTTAAGAAAAAATTTTTTATGAAAGGACGCTAAAAAAAAGCTTGATGCCTTTAACTAAGTTAAAGAATATAATATGGAATATAAGAATAGAATACAAGTTCAAAGAATAAAAAAAGAAAAAGGTTTTTCAACTAAAATTGACTATGTTCAATTGAATGAACAAATATTTTTTAAACATTGATAATGACCATTTAATTAGCAATTCTTAACACTATTGAAAGACCAGTCACAGAACCGTACATACTCCGGCCTGGAATTCTCGTTGGTAACCATATCAGGGGATCTAGCATCGACGCACAAAAAAGGAGATAAAAGAAAGATGGAAAAAATGTACAAAGGAACTCTATAAAAAAATTAAAAAAACCTGAAAGAGGAAGAAAATATGTTAGACAGAGAAAGAATCGGACATCTTAGAGAGTAAAGTACGGCGGGCTTTAAAAAGCATAGCCAATGAAAAATCAAAAAGAAAGGATACAAAATTTACAGGAGGACTCAATCAAAGTACTTACCTCACTATGCCAGGAAATATGGAGTACTCAACAATGACGGAAGACTGGAAAAGATCAATATTTATACATATTTCGGTTTTATTTCTGTCTAATGTTTGCATTAACTATTGAACTAGTGCACTCATTTTACATGCTAGCAAAATAATGCTGAAGATTAGCACAGTTGCAATAATACCTGAATAGAGAGTTACCGGAGGTACAGACTGGATTCAGAAAAAGAAGAGGCACTAGAGATCAAATTGTCAACATACAATGAATTATTTAAAAGGCAAATGAATACAAAAAAGATATTAGTTTGTTTTATTGACTATAGCAAAGCTTTTGTCTGTGTTATCCACGATCTGTTTCTGAATGTTTTTGAAAAAATGGGATTACCGAGACATTTGATAAACCTAGTTGCCTCTAGAGCAACATTGCACATAATATATAAAAAAAACTTAATCGTTTAAAATTTAAAAAGAAGTGAGGCAAGGGTGCATCTTATTTCCATTTTTATTTAATTTAAACGCTGAAATGGTATTTTAAAATGCCGAACTAGATGATCTTAAAACCGGAGTCAGAAAAACAATCTGTGATATGCTGATGATGCCACCTTCGTGGCTGAAAGTAAATTATGATAAATTAAAATCAGTTAAGAGATTAATTTCTAAAAAAAAATTGCAAGTAAAAATGCAGGTCTGCTATTAAATATTGAAAAAACTAAAATTATGACCAACTCCTGTACAAAAACATTTAATCATGAAGGAGAAGATTTTGAAATCGTCAAAGAATTTAATTTTCTTGGATTAATAACTAATGGGAAGATAAATGCAGCAATAAAATACAACAAAGAATAATTCTAATGCAAAAGGCAATGACTAATCTAAATAAGATTTGGAGGGTCAAAGAAAATTTCCTTGACAACTAAGGTGAAGCTGATTCAAACATTAGTAATTTCAGTATTTGTATATAGAGGATAAACTTGGACGGTTAAAAAATCAGACAAAAAAGAATAGACGCGTTTGAACTACGGTGCTGGCAAAGACTATTAAAAATTTTATGAACCGAAAAATAACTAACATAAATGCTTGAAAAAATAAAGCCAACCGAAGTTACCTATAAAATCTATGAGGTTAAAAAAATAGACTTCCTTATTTTGAAAAGATGACGACGATTGGAAAATAGGTGGAACACGAAGAAGAAAAGACCAAAAAAAGATGATTGAATTCAATCACCAAAGACGCTAATCTGGGCCTGAAAGAGTTGGTTAATGTAATATGCGACAGAAACAATTGGAGGTGGATTGTCCATAGGATCAGCGAAAAAAATTAGCAATCGTGAACGTTATTGATTTTTAACAACGCTGTCATGTAAAATATTGATATAAAATATACAAATAATAACTGAAAATGATGTAGCTATTCATCATCATAACTAGCCGCATGGTCCTTCATAAAGTTGTTGTAAGTGTTTCGCCTGGATACATGCCTGTCTAATCATTTGACACTCGCTATCATACGTCAGTCCATCACTGGCACAAACGGGTTTCAAAATGGCTGGACATTTGTTGTTGCATGTGCATCTGGGAGTGTTCTTTGAATCAACGATGCATTGTTGATGGGGTGCACAAGTGTCCCACCTGGCGCAAGGATTTGTTTCTGAGGATCAAAACAAATTATCACCTTAAACATTATATTTTAAAGTTAAAGATGTTTACATTTTTATTGTTGAATAAATTTAAATTAAAAACAAAAACCTATTCAACAAATTTAATGAAATGTGATCATAAATTTTTTTAAGCATCTTATAGTTGCACCATTTAAATAAATTAAATTAATGCCAATGTTTCTTATTTTTCCACAATAATATTATATTCAAAGTTTTCACATTTAAATAACCTGACAAACAATGGCCACTGTGAAGAATTCTAAAATCTAGTTCATTCAGGCAGGTGTGTTCTTTAAATAAGCACTCGTTGACGTATGTTTGTCCATTATTGGCACATACTGGACTTGCTTTGGAACTACAATTTGCATCACACTCACAAACCGGTTTTCTGTTTCTGTCTAATATGCACTTTTTCGAATGAGAACATTTGTGCTCCCTGCAAGGATCTGTTGCAGAAGTAAAGTCAATGCTTCTTTTTTATCGTTTAACAGCTTGAAACGTTAGAAATATTGAAAACATGGTTATGCAAATTGATAAAATAAAAATAAATAAATGCTATTGTTAAAATACTATTATTATAAATGTTGAATAAAAAAAAACATTGCGATGCCGTTGGAAATAAAACTACTCGTTGGAAATCAAATGAGTTTGAGGTGCACCAACCAAGAGGCAGTTGCAACGGTTACATCGAGAAAGAAAAAGGCAGAAGGCTAAAGTAAAGTCAAATCGAAATAATGCAACGAATTGGACTAGAAAATTTAGTTGCAAGATTTTATTGTAGATTAAATTTGATAGTTAAAAAGGAAAAGGATCAAAAGTAATATTGTAACGCTAAAAATTTTGTTTGCTGATTGTCGAAACATTTCGCAAGCTATTGGAAAAAAATTATTGGTAAAAACTTACCACAATGATCATTATAACGGAGAGATATATTTCTTTTGTTTTCACAAGCCAATCTCTTTAGCTGACATTCATTTTTGTAAGTTCGACCATCGCTTCCACAGACAATTTTACTTTCATTGTTATCATCCGGACAATCAAATGTACAGTGACATGATGCATTCTTACATACTGCACCGTGATGACACACGACATTTTCGCATGGATCTTAGCGATTTACAATAATATTAAAATTAGATTAGGTATTAAAGTATTTTAAAAACATTGAGGTTAGTGACAAAATGTAAAATGTGGTATTGTTAAAAATGTCTAAGTAAAAAAATGCTATGGTCAGCAACAATTTTTTATTTTCATTTTTGTCACGCTTCCTTTTACAATAAAAAAAACTATTGTTTTAAATGTTTTTTTAATTTTTTTTATCTAGAATCGTTAGTTTTGTATTTATTTCATACTATTTTAAATTTTAAATAACTGTTCCGTTTTTACAGCTTTTCTGTATCAAAAAGTAAATAATCAAATTGAAAATATTTTGCGCATTGTGTTTTTTCTGGCAATTAGAGTTTTAAATTTGATTTCGATTTTTTAAATATATTTTATATATATTTATTTTTATAAATATGGTTCAACGCCAGTTTTCTTTCAGGCAGTATACTTTTCACAAAAAAAATCACATGATTATAATTCTGGCCAAGAGGCACCATAGCATTATCGAAATTAACATCGACACAACACTTTGTTTTAAGCACAAATCTGTTTAGGATTATTTGTATTAAATAAATACAAAAAAATTATTTTCTAACACCATTTAATTTTTATGTGCAATTTGTGAAACTTTTCATAGCTGACAAATTACTATTTATTATTTATACTATTTTTACTATAATTTAAAAATGGACAAAATTTTTTAATATTTTGTAACTATTCAATTAACTCAAAAATTTAGCTAAAAATTATAAAGAAAAATATTTTAATAATTTTTGCTATGTACTACTGGAAAAAAGTATGACGTTAATAATTATTTTTGTTTCAATTTTTCTAAATGTTTTTATTTTTGCAAAACTTCTATGCAATTTTAAATAATAATTAATTTTCAAACTCATTACCACTATTATCAATCTTGCTATTAATTTCTAAAACGCTATATTTTCGCCAACAAGCATAAAATTTAAAACCTACAACAACAAAACATGCTTAAGAAAGTGTGATTTTAGAAATTGTCATAGCCGGTGTGATGGTGAGGTTGAGCTCTAATCATTGAAGAATGCTCTAGTATGGCGCGCGTCTCAAACAGCCACTGACAGTCAAAGTCCTACCTTTGGTCTTCCCGTTGCAAAACCGTTTAAACTAACAAAAGAAAAGACAAAAACGAATAACTGGCGCCTTAAAACCAACTGCTTCGAGTAGATGGGATTCTCTACACACTCATCTAGGAAAAGAAAAACTTTATTCAAACATCTACTGCTATGCGGTTTTACCCTTTTTAAGGGAAGGCTAAGGAACTAAAGAACTAAAAAGTAACAGTCGTGCCAGTACGCTTCAAAGACTTGCTTTGATTGCAACTCGGTTCTCTATCCATCTACGTTCGTCTGGCAAACAACTGAAAAAACTCACAGTCAAAGTATTGTTCATGAAGTCATAACCCAGGTTATCGCGAGGGTTATCAGGAAGAGCGCAGTTCAGATCTTCAGTAATAAATGGGCTAGACGAAAAGTCAAAATCTTTCTAACCTTAACCCTAACAGTGTAATTCTTATGTATTTCTTTCTCAACAACCTGACTTACGGACTAACATTAAGCGTGGCACATGGAGAGATCGCAAAAATCCTTGTGGATGAACTATATCATGGGCTTGCAAAAGGTCCAGTAGCGGGTGTTGGTGACTATAGTTTTTTCTATTCCAGTCCGGCTGAGGATCAATCTAGATTTCCTGGCTATTGTGCATCCGTTCAACAACGAATGGCTAAAAAGATTGATCACATCTTGGTAAACAGCAAATGGCAAGCAGTTCGTAACTGTCAAGTTTTTTGCAGCCTAAAATTTGACACTGATCACTTGCCAGTAATAGGTACACTTGCCATAGCTTTAAAACGTCATGTGGCAAAAAGCCAACTTCAATCTCAAAACAACTGTTGCAGGATGATGCAATGGCCGCAGTATATGCATCTTAAGTAGAGAAACAATTTTACGTAGCGTCGATCGATAAAAGATTGAACTCTCCTTCTAGGACTCATTTAGCAACTTCATAACTAAGACAACAGCAAGCAATTTCCATGCGTCATAAATGTATCACAAATACAATCCGTCTTTTGATCGTGTAGAAAAGACAAGCCAGACTTCACAGTTTGAGGTAAATTATCTATCTGTACAGTTTGTAGAGATTACAAAATGCAACTTTTCAGTGATTGTCAAATCTCGGAAGATAGAATGGCGTGGCATGGAAACTGGCTCTGCAGGATGGAAGAATTCAGTCATTTAGACGAGCGACTTAGGTCGTTTATTTTGAGTATTTTTAGCTTAATTGTTGGTAGTGCGAGTCAAATGATCAATGAGAACGATGAAAAAATATAAAAATGGTGAAAATAAAATTGCCTATTACTTAAACGCTATTGTCAATCCTTTTGCAGAAATTGCTGAAGTTTGCTCATTCAGCTACTGCTAGCCCTAAAATTAGTGTTAAACCACTCTTGAAGTTGTCGCTGCTCTTAAAACTTTGAAAAATAGTAAAACTCCAGGTCCGTGTGGTATTAACCCAAAAATGCGTAGATCAAGTGGCCGTTGTGTGCTGAATGGCTACATCGCGTCGCTATTCGTGTGTGGCAGTCCGATGAGGTTCATGAGGAATGAAGAAAGAGTATTAACATTTCATTCAACAAAAACAAAACTCGCTCCATGAATGGAAAACTTAGAGAGACATCTGTCAGTCCCGGGAAAAATGTTTACTAGTGTCCAATTCAGCTTTTTGGTCACAAAGATCGTACTTACCCTTTGGAAAACCGAGGGTTATAAAAACTGCCATGAATTGACTTGACCGGTAAGACTTGACCACCTAGCCACCTAAGGCAAATCTGGATGCGTTCAATAGAAGCAAACCAACTGCTTGTCAGCACTAAAACACATTCAGTTTGAAGGTATGCCCGCAACCGCACATAGTGAAGACAACTAGTAGACACGGCAGCGTCTCGCTATAGGGTTCACAATAATAATGAAATGTGTACAAAACTATCAGATCATCAAAATCATCTATTTAACGATGACTGATAAACTGATAATCACAAATCGATGAACCGTTCAAAAACTTAAAAATCGTACACCAAGTGATGTTATAAATAAATTAATAAATTGTTCAATTTTAATTTTGTAACGTAATTATTTTCATTTACAAAAAAATTTCAATTTATTGGCCTGGTGAGTGTACTGTACAATGACAAATAAACAGTTTTTAAATATTTACGTGGTTGACCAGTTCAAGGCAACGTGACATAAATGTTAAATTTAATTTCATAATTAAGTAAAAAAAAGATATTCTACCACATGGTCCTGATGCGTAAACATACAAATCTTTCTTCATCTCACAAGCATGTTTTTTTAGCTCACATTCATTTTTATAGCTTCTGCCATCACTTCCACAAATTTTCATATCGTCCCTATCATGAAGACAATTGAAGGAGCACTGACATTCGGCTGAACCGTTCAAGCCAGTCACACACACAGAACCGTGGTAGCAAATTTTCTTCTCACATGCATCTGTTCAAATAATATGCTACTGAGAAAATACACACAAAATAACAAATGTGTTAATAAACGATTATAAACTAAATGCACTATTGATAAAATGTTTTAGAAACTATAGTAATGAAAAAACAAAAACAAACAATCATTAAACAGCGAACAAAAAATGGTAAAAACTAAATCATAAAACATTTAATACATTTCTTAAATCTACTGAAAAGTAATTTCGAAATATAAATTACGCAAAAGTTTTATTGCAACTGCACAAACCACAAGGTCCAAATGATTTAACAAAAATGTCCACTTGTTCTTCACAAACATGCTTTCTCAGTTCACATTCATTGTTATAACTTTTGCCGTCGCTTCCACAAACTTGTTTCGAACTATTGCTGGCGTCGAAACAATTGAAAAAACATTGGCAAGACGTCAATCTAGCAATTTCGACAATACATGTGGATCCAAACGAACATGTCACTTCTTCGCAGGGATCTGAACAAAATTCATTGAGTTTAGATGAATTTTAATTTTTACGTATATGTATAAATATCAGTGATGACAAATACTTGAGTACGTTTTTACGTTTTCCATCGTAAAAAAAGATTCATTTAAATAAAGTTAAAGAATTAAAGAAATGGAAAGTCAAATAATTTGGAATGAAACCTTTAAAAAAAACATTTTAAAAAATTTATCCTTCAAAAATCATTTTTAAAGCATGGGTTTTAAAACAATATATCTTTCTATTTTTCAAAACGCTTGAAAATTCTAAATTTTACACTGATTAAAACTAAGAGACGAAAAATAAAAAAAAAAAGAAATATTTCTTTCAATTAATTAAACGTTAACTAAAATATATTGTTATAACCGCGGGAATGATAGAAGATATTATTAATTATTCGATTATTGTTATCTTTTTAATCTTTGGGTTGTAAACCATAGAGTGTAAAGAAATATTGTATCTATGACTGTAAAATTGGATTATAAATATGTCTTCCGAGTCGAGGTGAAGTCGGTTGAAGTTACAAGTCGTAAATATGATTTATTTAGATTAGTTTATTGTCTACTACTCATGGTATTTAAATAAACGTTCAACAAAGTTTGCATTTAAAGTAGTTGTGTTCATCTATCGGAAACTCACGAAATAACGAACTCTTAGCTATCGTTGGAAGCTACAACACTGGTGTTGGAAATATAGAGATTATTGAAGTTATAACCTCGGTGTTGGTAGTTATGAAAGTCAAGGAATTACAACACCATATTTATGAAATGTGTCATTCTTGTAGCTGAACAATATGGCGTTAACTTTGTTTGAAAACTTAAAATTATTAACAAACGTATTTTGATACTCAGAGTATTAAAAATTTTATAAGTTAATAAATAGTCAGTTAAAATTTACCGCATGGCCCCTGAAATTTAATGTGAATGTTTTGTTGCATCTCACAAGCTTGTTTCTTCAGATAACATTCATTTTTGTAACTTCTGCCATCACTTCCACACACTTTCTTACTATCGTCATCGGAACAAACTAACTGACATTGACATAAACCAGCGACACATGATGATCCATAGTGACATTTCACATTCTCACATGGATCTGCATGTATGTTAAAATGAATTTTTGATGACAAGTTGTTACAGATTTTAAATCAATGCAATTTGAATATTTGTCGCCGCCTTTTTAAGTAATTTGGTTATTGGTTGCGGCTTTTTGTTCTGAAAAATATTTCCCGTTAAAATTATTATACCTGGCATAAATGTTTCTTACTATCAAAGGTAGCGTTTCTAGGGCTAATAAATTTAAATCAGCCTCATTTTTAATAAATTCAAACATTATAAAAACATTTTCAAAAAAGGCTAAAAATTTCTTTGGGTCATTTAAATTCACTAGCATTGCATAAGCTTGTCAATTTTTTTGTTGCCAAACAAGCGACACGTTATATAATCTGTCGAAGGACGTTTAATTGTATAACACAACTTTTGCATTAACGCGTTATATTCAGAGTTGCATTTACAGATTACATAAAAAGTACTAGTTTTAATAAGTAAATTAAAAATATTCATATTGTAATATATTTATAATGATATTTTTTACTAACTATAACTTAACTCATATTGATTACATGGCGCAGCCTTTGTACGTCATCCAGTCCTTATGCAGTTTTTCATGTACAAAATGGTATTTAATAGTTACATGTAACTAACTTGACTCAAACAGCTGCATTTCTAATAAGCATAAATAATGTGAAACGAAACATTAGTTTACGAATAATATATTTTTTCCATAGCAGTTTTAACTGGCTGAAGCTATTTCCATGTGAACCATTTATAATTAATAAGTGACATTTCACATTCTCACACGGAGCTGCATGTAAATTGTAGAGTATTAATTAATTGGTACCAATTGCAATTTATGCAATGTATTATAATGTGGCGTGTGTGATAAATTTTTTGTAAAGATCAATCAGCAACATTTTAAAACCGCAGCGTGACATGTTAACGAAAAACCATTATGCGGACTTAGTTTCTTAATAGAAAATGGCCAAAAAGTTTTTAAAAAGTTTTTTGATAACATTGTTAAAAAACAAACAAGTCTAAAAAGGCTACAAAATTTTATAGATAAATTAAAAATAATCAAATATTATAATAAAACTTGAAATAGTAAAATGGCATTTAAAAAAAATTTTTTGCACGTATACAATATGGTCAAGAATAGATGTCTTTAATGATATCGACTATCCTGACTAGACTATTCATTCATTCATATTTAATAAAACGTAATTTTTAGAAACAAATAAATTAAATTTTACCGCATGGTCCCTGAAATTTAATGTGAATGTTTTGTTGCATCTCACAAGCTTGTTTCTTCAGATAACATTCATTTTTGTAACTTCTGCCATCACTTCCACACACTTTCTTACCATCATCTTCGTCATCGGAACAAGCAAACTGACATCGACATGAACCAGCGACACATGATGATCCATAGTGACATTTTACATTCTCACATGGATCTGCATGAATGTTAAAAGTTACTGCTGATGAAAAAATGTTTAAAATTATAAAATAATGCAAAGCAACAATATATTGCAGCCTTTATGAGTCATTCGATTGTGAACAAGTTTTCACTTGTTGAAACGATTTCCCTTTAAAATGATTATAAATGGCAAATTTCCTACCACTATAAAATTAATGTTTTATACTGTTAATAAATTTAATTAGTATTTTCCTATCCAGTTGATTTCTAATGATATCCTTCCATTTCATTCATTTCAGTTTTATTGAGGATGCTTATATAAGATAAAAAAAAGCCGCCCTAAACCTATATCTTTTCTGAATGTTCAATTATTAACCACTAAAATAAGGTATCAAATACTGATCAAAATCTGCATTGAATATTATATCATTTATATATTTTACAGGTTTTGCATCTTGTTAGATGATGATGATGATTATTATTATTTTTGCTGAAATATTTATGAAGCAGAATCTCAAAAGCGCTAACATCTCTAACAAAACTTGAACGTAACATAACATGATTGAAATAACAAATAATGCTTTGTACAGAAATAAAATTAAAACTGAGCAATGAAAAGAAAAATTATTCGATGCGTTATAGCGAAAATAAAGTAATATTTAGAACATGTCAACTAAATAAAAAAAATTCATCTTTAAAGAATTATAATGTAAATAGATAAGTTTTCAGATTCGATTTAAAATCATACAGGCTGAAAGAAGCAGGCAGGTTGTTCAAAGCAGTTGGTCCAGAGACACCAATGTAACGAGTGCCTATACGGAGACTCGCGGTTGGGATCAACAACGAGTTTGATTGAAATATCAGATCTCAAATGTGCTCCAGATGCTTTTGAAAATCTCTTTTGAACGTGCCAGACAAATATGATAGAACTAGACCGTTGATAGATTTGTAGACAGATGTAGAAATTTTGAACACCTCTCTTTTGTCGACGGTCAGCCAATGAAGTTTTTTCAATATTGGAGACACATAATCATATTTAGAGCTCCAACAATTTTTGCCGCTCGATTTAGTGTTGTTTGTAGTACCGCCATGGAGCGATCAGGCAAGTCATAAAACAAACTGTTGCATAGTCGATTGATTTTCCTGATTTGAAACATGCATACGACTGAGAGCTTTTTAATGTGTTATTTCATTTACAAACTTAAATCAATTGTGAACCCGAGGTTAGTTGCTGTCTGTTTTTAATTATTGTTTTATTTATTTTATCTTATACAAAAAAGCTTTTTTTTCGCTTTGTAATGACAAATTGCAACCCAGAATTGGTTTTTTGTTGTTGCAAAATTTGATCAAGTTACTTTTCTGCGCAAAGAGTTAAACTGGTTTTTTGGTGTTTAATAGGCTGTGCACCTCCATACCCGATCAAATTTTGTGCGTAATCGGTAATATTTGTTGATATCTCTTGCTGGGTCCCATTTTACAAACCGCGAATGTTTGACCCGAGTTGCCCACCAATCTCGAGCCAACACAACCTTTTAAAAAGGCAAATGTTAGCTCCAGGGTCTTCTAACAATCAGAATATTAATAAATAACTGTTTTATATTATTGTTGTTGATTTTTTTTGTTGCTCTTTAATCTAAAACTAACGCAAAACACTGTTTTGAAATAGCGACAAAATATTTACTGTCACAAATGATTCAAAAAAACCATCAGACTTCATCGGAGCATTTAGACGGTTATAAAAAAGACAGCGTTCATGGCGGTTGCGACTGAGCTTTCACAAATATTTTTACAGTTTGGCAGTCTGAAGTTAATGATCTCGAAAGTTAAAATTTATTTCCAATATTACTGTTATTTTTTAAACAATAATTAACAATAATTAACAGCGTTTCAAAAAATATTATTAGTTGTTTACCGCATGGCCCCTGAAATTTAATGTGAATGTTTTGTTGCATCTCACAAGCTTGTTTCTTCAGATAACATTCATTTTTGTAACTTCTGCCATCACTTCCACACACTTTCTTACTATCGTCATCGGAACAAACTAACTGACATTGACATAAACCAGCGACACATGATGATCCATAGTGACATTTCACATTCTCACACGGATCTGTATATAATATGAAATAATTCTTATCAATAACGAGCTCAAATTTCAAATTGTTGTAAAATGTGCACCCTGGCAATTACAGATGTTCTCAGACATGCCATTTGGCGGAACAAAAATATAATAACAGAACCCAATAATTGTAAAATGCTGCCGATACTATAACATGAAAGCAATTTTCTAAATGACTATTTTCTACAATCGTATGTGTTTGTAGTAAATAAATTGACTGAATTGAATTTTCTCAACGATTTTGTTTTAACACAAACTGCTATCAAGTTGAGAACATTTACAAATCAAAGTGTGAACCAGTCACGAGGTTTAAACGAAAAATCAATCAATCCAATTTCTACAGATGCAAATAAGTAAGCTCAGTATAAATTTCGGCATATAAACAATTATAAAGTACAAAGTACAAGTACAAAAAAATAAAACTAAACAAAATAAAAAAATTAAATTAAATTAAATTAAAAAAAAATTGGTTAGATGGAAATAATATCAACGCATCTATGTAAAAACAAAAAAAGTTTTTACAAATTGCTTACAATTTTAAATAATTTATTTTAATTTATTTCACGCTCGTTGTTATTATGCTAATTTTTTGTTGAAAAATGCATTGATGTCACATGTTTATAACAAGTGAAAATATTAATTTTTACTACAGATTTTCAAAGCGAGATTTTTGTGAAATTTGATAAAATTTCATTTTATGGAGAAAATTAAATTTATAAAAAGGATATTATATCAAATAAATTTTTATCATCAAACTTCAAGTTAACATTTTTTAAAAACGCTTCCATTTTGGGACCATTTCCAATTTACATGATCGAAAAAAACGTTCAATGTTTTTTTAGTTAAATTAAATAATTATATAAATGGAAAAAATGCTTATAAATAAAACAATTTAAATATAAATTTGAATGAACATTAAACATTCAACTCTTCTAGTGAGAAAAATTTAAAACTTATAAATATAAGAGAATGAAAATGAACAAACGACAGATGATTGTCGAATCAACGTCGGCATGATTTTTAACATGGACAAAGGACATCTGTGTATTACCTCTCTTTTATATGATCTCTTTTAAAATAAACCTCAACATACATTTGACAAAATGTATAAACTGCACTTTTAAAAGGTTGCGTTGTTTGTCACATAACTTGGACGCGTCATATCAAGCAGTGTTGAATCTTTCATATGTAAACAAATTTTCATATTTTTACATGTTGAAATATTGAACACCGCAGACGCACATAAAAAATGGCGCTTGAATTCAGTGGTTGATTTTGAGGCTCGTTGTGTGAAATAAGTTCAATCAAATGAGTTGCTATGGCTTAATTTTTTGAAGAATTGATACAATTTTAAAACGCAACGACGTACCACATTTTCCATAGAAACTAATTTGTATCTCTTTTCTTTTCTCGCAAGCATTTTTTCTTAGCTCGCATTCATTTCTGTAACTTCTGCCATCGCTAGCGCAAACAGCCTTGCTCCCATCGTCGTCATCAGGACAAACGAACAAACATTGACATGTACCAGCCACACACACTGCACCGTAGTAGCATTCTACATTCTGACATGGATCTCTTGAAACTGTTTTGTGCCATACGATGTAAATATTATTCAATTTTCTCGCAATTGTAATTGACATTGTAAGATGTGTGGAGAATAATAAAAATAAGAAGAAAAGTAGTAGAAAAGAAAGAACACTGTTATTATTCAGCCAAAAGTAAAATAAAAACAATGACAATAAAAATGAATCGAGTAAAAAAACGATATACATGGAAATAAACAAAATGAAAATGAATGAATGAATAAATGAATGAATGAATGGAATGAATGAATGAATGAATGAATGAATGAATGAATGAATGAATGAATGAATGAATGAATGAATGAATGAATGAATGAATGAATGAATGAATGAATGGATGGATGGATGGATGGATGAATGAATGAATGAACGAACGGACGAACGAACGAACGAACAAAAGAATGAATGAATGAATAAATAAATAATTTATTTATTTATAAATAAATAATTAAAATAAGAACAAGTAATTAAAGCTCGGCATCATAGTGAATGAGTGAGTACAGCGAGCTAAAACAACACTTCTGCACAATGAATGTAGTAGGCTACGATTTGTTTGTTTGGTACATTATCCTATTATTTTATTAATCAGTTTGTTAGTTTAGGACGCTTGTTATTTAAATATTTTCAATGGTTTTGTTTACTGAAATTTCATGTATGCTTTTTCTTTATTTTTTTAAATTTTAATTTATTTAAATTTTTGTTATTTTGTTTAATTTTGTTTTTTTGTACTTGTATTTTGTACTTCACTTTCCCCGAATTTTAGGCTGAACCTACCTAGTTGCATCTCTAGAAATTGGGCTATATAAAATTGATTGATTGATTTTCGTTTAAACCTTGTAACCGGTTCACACTACGATTTGAATGCTTGAGACACATCAATGATCGACTCATCTTCAATATCCGCAAAAACGACTGCATCAGGCTCAACAAATGATCTGTTACCGTTGGTTTATTCAGATCACACAAAAATTGACCGTGCAAAGATTAGTTCATCAATGAGTTTTTTCTTTCCTTTTCAAGCTTCATTTTGAGTGTTAATTTTAAATTCTCCATTGCAGTCGTTTCTACAAAATTTCTGATGATTATTTTACTAGCTTTTTTATCCAAAGAGTATTTACTTTTTTTATATCATGTTCCTGTACTAATTATGACAATTTTTTATAATTATCATTAACATATCTATATATCATCCAACTATTGTCATTTTGTAGGATTATTCAAGTTTTACCAGCCCTCTTTCGCCTTATTTTCTCTTGGTGTAGAGTCTATCAACATCAGCCATTATTATTATTATTATTATTGTTGTTGTTGTTGTTATCACCATCACATCTCGCCTCAGATAATCAAGCTATTTGAATAAATCTACGGTAATTATTCAATCACTGTTTATGGCTGTAAAGTTAAACCCCTCCCATTCCGGTTAGATGAAATGTTCACCAAGACGACCCCGTCTCCCCATTACTTTTCAATTTATGTTTTAACCTACTGATGAGACTGATCAAAAAGGACAAATTTCAACAGTGCGCTTATAAATGGGGGCCCACAACCAATCTACACTCCAGAACTTAGCTTCAGTTTGTTGATGACACTTCTATCATAGCAAATGGCACTGACAGTGTCCAAAAATTGATCAACAAGTGTAATTTATTTGGCATGAGAAAAAGAAATGGTAGATATGAACAATTCTTTCCATGGCTGGCCATTAACGATAAACCCATTCCCCCGATAGAAGCAGATTGGCAAATTCGTTTATCTGGAAAAAATATATGATAATAAAGGATTGCAACGCTGAAGCGAAAAAACGCCAGATTGATAAACTCAAGCAAATGTTGTCTATCACAAACAATTTGGATACTACACTATAGTGGAAACTGCAGATAGTTCGCAGATAAACCCAATCGCAATTGGCTTTTGAACTTTGTACCTAAGACTTTTCATTGACATGGATTTAAAACAATTTGGACCCTTTGATCGCAGAATCGGTGAGAGATTGGTTATTTTTGCCAGTTAGCAGTTGTGTGTCGAGTACATTTCACTCCCTTATAAATTAGGAGGATTAAACTTAAGATCCCTTAAAAATTACACTGAAGCGTTGAGGGAAAATTCTGTAACTACCTGAAATCACACTTCAACAATAAAATAAAATGTTTATGGACAGAATTTCACAACTGTTACATTATAGTCGACAACATCCTTCCTGATTCAGCTGATGTAAAACCATCGACAGCTCAACAAAAATCCAATCTCATACATTTGTCCTCACTGAAATGCCAGAAAACCATTGTTAATTAAATCAATTATAGATCTCGTCCCGGCAACGGATGTTTCCCGATGGTTGAAGTTTACAGCCGTTTGCTGGAGATTTTGTTCAAATTTGTTAGAAGGGCAACAATTTAACAACTTCCTACAAATGCCAAATCTCTCCAGATGGGGTAAGTCTTCTACTGCTTTGTGTCCTCTCTGTAACGCATTGCAGTCAAACTGTTGTTCCGTTGCAGCTTTAAAAAAATATACAACCCTTCATAAAAAATATTGTCTTTGATTTTGGAGAAAATTAGATCGGTTGCTAAATCAGAAGTTACAATCTTGGCAATACGATAGTATAGTCCCTCTTCAAATCATTTCGGCCTGATTTAGCACTTTTACGAAGAGATACTATCGAAATATTAGAATTGACAGTCTGTCATAAATCCAACTTCACCACATCAAGGAACTATAAAATATTCAAATACTAGATATAATCCATAAAATATTTCGACAAGAAGAAAGGCCTCAAAATTATTATCAGCACATTTGAAATCATCTCCCCATTAGGCTTTTTTAAACGTTTTTACTTATCGTTTGTGAATTTTATTTAGTCTGACCAATTTTATAATGATTTGACTAACTCGGCAATATCAGCATCGTATGCTATTTATTGCGAATTTAACTCGAATATATCATAACAGTTTATTTAGACTGATCTTTTATTTCTAGTTGTACGCATTTTGTTTTGATTTTATGGCAAGAAACGTAAACTACTTTATCGATTTTATTATTTTATTTTTATTTCATTTCATTGTATGTTTATTTTACTTTTGCTAAAAATTAAAGAGTTCCAATTTAGCAAATCACGAGAGCTGCCAGATTTCTACTAGCTAGTACAAAAGTTGGTTTTACAGTTGAAAAAGTTATTGCGGTCATAACAATATTATCTCATCGTAATTTTTAATATTTATTTAATTTTATTATAATTTTAAACTCTATTTTAATAGTAAACTAAATGTCCATAATTTTTTTAAATTTTATTAAAATCAGCAGTCACTTCTGGCTCTGTACAAAACCAACTTTAAACGGTAGCAACAATAGTGAACGTTTATAGCAAAATGACAATGTTTCTATATCTTTAAATTTACTTGTTGAAAAGTTAAATAATAATATTGCTAATATCAATAATAATCTAATTTTGTGTTGTTGTGGTAACAAGTATAAGAAAAGAAAAGGCCTGCGCATGCAACAACATTTGTGCAAAATAATTAAAATTTAAAAAACTGAGCAGAATCTTCCAACGACCCAGAAAAAAGCTCAAACTGTTGTCATCTTCACCGTAGCATCAAATTTCTTCACCGCAACAAACATTAACAAATATTTGGGAACAAAACACAAAACTGCCCAAAACGGAAATTCAATGGGAAGAAGCCAATGCATACTTTCATGCGCAAAAGGCAACCCTGCAACCCTGCCAAACATCTCTAACATTGACAACTTCACCACCAATCTACAATCATTAATATATGATTTCTTTGCATCTAACTTCGGCACGCTAAAATAAAAAACAAATTCAGCAACTGAGCCCGACAAAACCAATTAACAAATTAAAGAAACAGTTAAAGCAATTTAATCTGCTAGGCCATAACAACGAAAATTTTGAAATTCAAATTAGCACGCTAAATAAACAAATTTGTTTGTAAATATTTTCATCAAAAGCGACAAAAACTGAAAAAAAATTTGATACTACAAACCAATTAAAGCAAACATTTTCGGCTACGTATGGAAAGTTTCTCAATCCGACGACTGATTTGCTATCTTGGTTTAACGTCAAAAAATGTAAAAAGTTTTTCCACGATGTCGCAATAAATATCCTTTACCAGATTAGACCCAAACATTGTTATAGCCGTCGATTGCTTGCAACATCAAACCACTAACGTACAACAAAATTTCAGCAATTAGCAGGAAATGCAAGGCGAGGCCCCTCCTTGCCCACTTCATTTGACCAGATGTCAATCATAATTCTAAAATATTTTCCAATACTACGCACAATTTTCTACCAGTTACTGGTTGAATGTTGGAAAATGCCGTCAATCTCTACATGCTGGAGAAAAGGAATTACGAAAAGAGTGACGCCAGCGACACAGCAAATTTCAGTTCAATAATAGTTCAACCAGTCTCTATAACATAATCTCCATATTCGTCAACAATAGAATATACAAATATCTAAAGTGTACGGTGTAGTTAAATAAACGCAACTACTATCATATTTATCGAAAGACGCCAAAAGACACCGGAGAACAATAACCATCACACTTTTAGATTTAAAAAATGCCTTTGATAAAGTTAACCATTATCTAATTTATATGCGATAAGTTATCATCACCCAGACTAGAACGGTATCAGTGTGCAACAAACTAACTTTGCCTATCCCAGTAAAACAAGGAGTCTTACAGGATGATCTCGGTTTTCCAATTAATTTTCAATCTGTTTCGATCCTTTGATGAAAATATTTGAGGCAAAATGATAGATATATATGGGGCGCACAACCAAACTAAAATCTATAGAATGGCTTCTACTTGAAGACGGTTCAGCAATTGTCTCAAACAGTTCAGAGGGAGCACAAAAGTTAATTGTTTGCAATGAAGTTTGGTGTAAATGGACGGATATGAAGATGGGAATTTACAAGTGCTGCACGAATGAAAAGCGAATGCTTGATGGCGAATTTTCAATCCCTTTCGACCTGCAGAATTTCCAGCAGCAGCATTGAATTAAATCATTATTATACATATCGACCAAATAATTATTTGCTGTATTTGAGTTGAGAATTTTAAGAGAAACAGAAATATCCACACTTAAATTTGTAGGCAAGTGTACCGTATTAAGATTATAGTCAGCAGTGTTTTTTGTACAGCGCCGGAAATGTCTCCCAACATTAACAAACTATTTTATAAAATATAAACATTTTGTTGAATTAATGCGAAAATTCAAAATTAAAATTAAATTAAATAAAAATTTAACATAAATATGAACTTATTTTAAAACTGGTCTAAAAACTTTAAAATCAAAAATAATGCATAAGAGCGGCCACCTTTTGCGTTAACGCGCACATAACAGCGGCAGCAGCAGCAACAAATAATGTTGTTATTATTTTTAATTTTATTATTTTGTTCAATTATTAAATCTGTTTCGATGAAAGTTATATGATGTTAGAATTTGATGTTCATAAAAAAGAGTTCTCATTATTATTATTATAGCAATAATAACAACACAAAAATACGGCAAAAAAGTTTAACTGTATAATATTTCTTTTTTATATTAAAACCGTGGAAAAAATTGACATCTAGAAGAAGATTTGCAAAAATTTATAAAAAGCCTTTCAAGTGTTTGGCATAAAGAACGAAATATAGCTGCTGCCAGATCCGTGCTTTCTAGTTCTTAAATCTAAAAATAAAAAAATGTGGGTAGGCAAGTCCCAGCTAGAAAAGAAAAAGTAGAAAGTGGTTGCTAATGAAGGTAAACAGTGGCGTGGATGATTGACAAAATTGAAACCTCAAACAAGCAATACCAACAAACTGCAAGTTCAGTTGTAGATCAAAATATAATTACAAAATTGTTAACTAACCGCATTTTCCTCTGTGAATTATTGTTATAAGTTTTTGCTTTTGACATTGTTCGAATTGAACCTCGCAGTAATTTTGGTACGTTACCCCTTCTTCACTACAAAGAAGGTTCTGCTTTTCGTGAAGGCACTTATGCATACAATCACAAATGGCTTCACCACGTTGAAAAACACATTTGGCGCCAAATTTGCAATGAATAAGATCACAAGGTTCTTCGGTGACTAAAAAATATAATCAATTATTAATTAAATACCGGTTGAATAAAAATTAAATATAAACAAATTAAATACTATAAAGTGTGGAAAGTATATGTGATTTAAAATATTTTTTCTGCTTCTTGAAGATAATTAGCAAGATTTTTTTGACGAACTAAACAAACTTTGAAATATTTTATAATATTTAGATAACAAAAAAAAACAAACTCTTTTTTACGATAAAATTAGTGAGCGATGTAGTCTCACTTTACTGACAAAAATGATATTTAACACACACAGACATAAACTGTAGTTCAACCACAAAAATGAAATCATTCATTTTGGTTTTTGAATAAAATTTAAACTATCTTGATACTTTTTGGTTATTTAGATGGTTGACCCTAAAAAAATTAATTCATAAAGTTTGGTCAAATCAAAATAAAATCAATAGCGAACACACTTGCATAAAAAAGAACATAAAAAGAAAATGTATTTATACCTATTAAATTTATTTGGCCGACATTTGTGCCAAAAGTGTTGTTTGCCCTGCATTCAAAAAGTCCTGCATCTTCTCTTCTAAGGTTTTCTATACGTAGTAAACCTGAAAAAAAACTTTAGATCAATATCTTTTTCAAATTTGATTTTTGAAACATTTTTATGTTCCAATTTAAAAAAAGCAAATTTATTTGAAACATTTGCAAATGATAGTTAAAGATGCATCATCTGACCACTTTTAATATTATAAAATTTTTTAAAACTTTAAAAATTTATTTCCTACATAAACTTAAGATTTATCCATCAATTTCATATATTAACTCTTAAAATTGCATCAATTTTAAATTGACAACTTTGAATCTTTAATATCATAAAATTAAAAATTCATCTATTCTGACTTGCGTATCTTTGTTCAAGTTTCTATGAAATATGCATTATTTCGTCGTCTCGTTACATTTATCATATTGACATGCATTTTAACTTTGATTTTATATTTATGTGAGTCTCTTTTCAATTTAATTAACCCATATAATAATGCATAAACACTTAATGTCGATAAAAATTTCAAAACCATTGCACCTGGGTTGAATAGAACATATCTGGAGTCAGTAAGGTTGTCTATGGGTTCCATTCCATTTTTCAGCCAAAGAACTGATGGAGAAGGTCTGGCGTAGCCTTCGCATTTTAGTAGCACATGCCGACCTGATAACGCCAACAAATCTCCGGCCACTGGCTCCATGTGCAATTTAGGAAAACCTCTAACTTCTAATTTGCGATTTCAATATTTTATCTATTGATTAATTAGCACAATACTTAATGTGTCAATGATCTCATACGCTGACATTTTTAAAATATACATCGTTTACTACTATAAACAAAATTTCAAACCAATTATTCAAATCTATATGATAATGTAATTAATGAATTAGTAAACATTTTATTTATAAATATGATTAAAATATAATTTATTTATTTATTTACTTAATTTTATAATATTTTTTCAATAGTTTTTGATTATATACAATTATTTCAAAAAATCACTTATTTAAATACTTAATTCGGAAAAAGTTTAACTGTTTATATTCATGTTAGGTAGGAAATAGAAAAAATAATGTAAGTGAGCTCAAGCCAACTGACCAGTTATATTTCTGAGAACAGTCAGTTTTGTTAATGACCTAGTAGTGATAACTCCTTTCGATCGAGTCCATGCACTTCCAGCGTACTAATTTCAGTTTATAAATTTTGTTAATTTTTTAAATTTTCAAACTTATCAACAGTAATTTCAAAGTTAATTGACCATTTATTTGTATTCCATGTTAACAAAAAAAAATAAATAAAAATAATAAGGAAGAATACTTTAATCCATTGGTCGACTGACGCCCTGCACTCCACGTTGCCAGCCCTCCTCACGTAGGCTCCTGCCAGTCTGAGAACTGACATTTTTAAGTTTAATTTCTCTTCCCTTTGCCAGATTTTAATAGTTCTGTTGAATTGTTTTAGTGTTTGAATTAATTGTTTTGTGGATTGATAAAAAATGTTATGTCCTAATAAAAAAAATGAATCAAAGTAATTATGTTAATTCAGTTAATTACATACAGATTACACGATTAAGTGATTTGCAACAAAACATAATTTCAAGGCGTATTTTATGAAGGAAATGACGGAACGTCAGCCGATTCTTTGACAAATATGAAAATGAAACTGACCCCTCTTTGTTGTTGACAAGATGTTCATTGTTGTTAAGAAACCACTGGACGTTGACAGTGATGTGGGGCGGCACTGTCAACTCGCCCTCTCCACTGCCGTTCAGGTAAAGGGGCAAAACGTGTGCTTTGCAAATGAAAACGGCTGGAGTGTTGTATAAGAGGGTCTGCCTCGATGGAGTCATCAAACTTAGCGTCACTGTTTCGTGGAAGAAGGAAAATCTCGAAATAAAGATTTCAATTAAATGTTTAAATTTTAAAGAGTTATTTTAAAAAACTAACAAACAATTATTTTAAAAAATGAGTTTTTATAATTTTTTTTTACAAAATATTTAGTAACAGAAGTTAATTTACAATATTTTGAAGTACATAAAAAAATTTTTATTAGAAATAGAAATTAAAAAAAATTCATTGTTTGATAATTAAGAAGTAGTAGCAAATTATACGTCTGGCTTCTTCAGGTTTTAGTGTTGTTGTGGTTCGTTTTGTTGAGGGAAGTTTTTTCGTTGTTATTTTTGGAGAAAGCGTTGTTACTTTGATCGCAGATGTTGAATGTGCTGTGGGAGTCCTCGTTGGAGCAGCAGTTGTCGCCGTTGATGTCCTTATTACGACTGCAAAAATAATTGAACGGAAATTGATAGAAATTATTGATAATGATGATTGATAGATTGATTGGTTGGTTGGTTGGTTGGTTGGTTGGTTGGCTGGTTGGTTGGTTGGTGGGTGGGTAAGTGGGTGGGTGGGTGGGTGGATGGATGGATGGATGGATGGATGGATTGATGGATTGATGGATTGATTGATTGATATATCATTTGATGCGAGTTTTCGGATACGTTTTGTCAATTAAGCATTGGGAATGAAAATTTTTTTAAATGAAATTTTCAACGGCACAAAGCTGGAAAAACTTTAATTGGACGTTTCAATGAATGAATGTTATTAGAAAAAACAAATAAATAAATTGCTTTGATGTTTGAAAATTTGAGGTAGCAACTACCGACTAAAAAAAATACATAGATTTTACAATTAGTTTAAATGGTCTTTGAAATGTTCATTTTTTTATTATTATACTTGTTACATTCAATTGAAATATTATATGCAACGTTTCTAACAGCTACTGACTTGTTAAAGAGTATTCAAGCTTCTTTTAAAACATTTAACAAGTCATCAAAACAATTTTTTGTAATATATTTTACCTTATTTAATTATATTATAGCAAAAAGTATAATATGTAATGTAAAGTTTTTTGCCTTTAAAAATCTAAGAGATTGAATATATCTAATAAAATAGGATGAATATTAGTGCAACGCAATCTACTTACCAGGTTTTGTCCATAATTTAGTTGTTTTATCAGTGGTGGTTTGTTTCTTTGTAGCCGTTACTCTTGTTGTTAATTTAGTCAAAGTTGATGTTGTTTCTGGCGGTTTTGTGGATGTTGAAGTGTCTTTTTTGGACTGATCTGATAATTTGCGGTATTATACATTTATTATACTTTGCATCAAAAAATGTTTCTTCAACTCTAAAAAGTTCAATATTCTGAGATATAAAATTTTAGAGTAAATGCAAAAAATGTAAAATAAGTTATGACATAGATGGTTAACATTAAAACCCGTAGTTCAAAATCAAGCACATTATTTCAGTACTTTAATCTCACATCGAAAAAAATTTCATTCAATTTTTTTGGCTTTGTGTTGAATCAATAACATTTCGGTATTATAGATACACTATTTAAGTCTTTATTCCTTACCGTGGCGTATTATTGAACTATTAGTTATTTAGGCTCACCGACAAAATAGCCCCCGACAAAATAGCGCCAAGAATACCGCGCCGACTGTTGTTTGTTGGTGGCAGACTCTCTTGCACTGGTGCTTATTGCATTCTGATTAGCCTTTTCAAAATCCATCGTAACACTTTGTGGAACAAGCCTTTATTTCAACGCAAAAAGTTTTCTAAAAACTCTAACATTCTCTTCTTTTTGTTTTGACGGAAGGAATGCATAAAAAAATTGTTCAGCACTGCGATCAATAAGCACTTGCAAAAATAGCTGAAGTAAAACTTTGAATGTTCTATCAACGAACCAGTGTGGATAGGTAAAGAAGCTGTAAATTATCATCTGTTCAAAACATAAGAATTCGAAGTTAGTCATCTGCTCCAGGATGCCACAAAAAGTTGACTTGCGATTTGTAACTGACAATGTATCTTGTATCATAATTTTATATAGAGAATGAGATGTTAAAAGAGGCACTTGTTCATGTTTACGTTTTCTTTTAATTGTCCTCCGTAAAGCGTAACACGATGTTGTTGTTACTGCCGACAGGTTACTACTGCACTGCATAATCGTGCGCTTCGGTTTCTTAACAGTGGTCATCGATCGTTCACAAATTAAACATTTTGCCTTTTCCATTTCCATCGTTTTGTTACTTGGGCCATGGTTGTGCTGGGACCGCTCTTCAACTGTTTCATCAACATTATTTTAAAGTCTGCCTTTGCAACATTTTTCTAGGCATCGCTAAGTTGTGGATCTGATTTTGTTTCGGTAGCCAGCATAAGCTGCAATTTCTTTACCTTTCTAAAATATAAAATTTCCATGATTTTGGAAAAATAGACTTTTAACTCTAGAATTTATTTCAAATTTAAGAATATGTGAGTACATTTTAAAAGTTCTCACATGTATATATATACACATAAAAACCCTACTTCATCGAATATCATACATAATGTATAAACTAGTATTACGTCATTAGGTATGCCATTTTTATATATTAAATCAAAAATTATAAAATTTAAATATTTAACTAACTATAATAATTTCATGTCAACGCTTGTCATTTTTACAATTTCAATTGTAAATTGTCGTAGTAAATATATCAAGTTAATGGTTTTTGATAAGCCATTTTTAAAAATTTGTTCGAAAATTGAAAAAAATAATTTTCATTTATTCTAATGATTTCGTGTCAGCGCATTTAAATTTTACAATTACAGTGGTAAAAATTGACATGAATATGTGATAATTTCTAAATTTTCCTTTACGCCATTTTGTCGTTCGCCATTTTGTCGGGAAATTTTCGCTCTTTACGCCATTTTGTAGGCGCTATTTTGTTACGAGCTACTTTTACGGGTCACCAGTTATTTATCAATGTTTTTGTATCCTATAAATTGTATTGTTGAAGAATTTGGGAATCGATTTTAATATATCAAAACTTGTCATTTATATCATTATGAAATAATTAAAAACATGTTTACATATATTTTTTATTTCAAAACCAAAATATAAGCTAAATATGTATAATACATCTAAAGCATATACATTAAATAATTTAAAACATTTTATTACGTGATGATATTTGACTAAATGTCTTATGTTTAGTCATAGAAGTGTCCACTTTTATTATCCAGCTTAGCTTGCTCCCCACATAGAGGTTTATTTTATTGGACATCGTTTTAACTGCATTAAACTGACCATTGGTTTAATAATTATATAGTTGTTTCTTTATTGTAATTTTATATTGATAAATAATTAGTTATTTGGTTTTTAAATATCTGTTTGTTGAATTAAATGCCTAAAATGTTATAAAAAAATTGCGTAATGTCGAATTATGAAATTTATGAAAAAACCAAAATCCATTTTATGGATTTTAAAAAAAACAAAATTTGGTAAGTGAATAAGGATTAATCCGAAATTTTTATTCTGAAAAAATACTTGAAGATTTGTTCGTTTCACTTTCATTTTATTACTGGTTTCTGGTATTTTGTACAAAAAATAAACTGAAGATAATATTTACACGAAAAATCCAAAAAATAAGCTGAAAGAAGATGATGTACCGACAAAATTTTCAAGTGCACCAGCATGTCTATCGACACCAACGGCACAATAAAATCATCAAATATTGGATTTTGAAAAGTCAGCAAAAAGCAGCCGAAGAATTTTTAAAAAATGATTGCATACGTTTTGTATTAAATGAACTTAATCAACGGTTAGTAAATTTTGATCAAAATTCAAACTGAAATTATTGAAATAATTTTTGATGGATTGATGAAATGAAAATTATGCATATTATTTAATTTTATTGCTATTTATTTGCAAGATGTTAAAATTTTCCACATTTTTCAAGCAATGAGAAAAACAGAAAACAAATATGATATCATCAGCGAAAATCGTTCACCACGATTCTGAACAATTAAACGTTGCACCAAGATTTGTTAGTGGGGTAAATGTATTGCATTTTACCCACAGTGTCAAGGAAATGAACTATGAGCGTTATTTTTAAAATGTTGAAGTTACACTATTAATATATTTAAATTTAATTAAAGATAAATTTAATAATTATGGGAAATTAAATGAAGTTAAAAAGTTATATTTCAATAGTTCACATTGTTTATTTAATTTAAATATTTTAATTATTGTTATATAATATGGTGTCAAATAAATTATCCACAAATGATTTGTTTTATCAAAATATAATAACGCAATAAATAAACCGCAAAATTGTTTAGTAACACAAAAGGCGCACAATATGTTAGGCTTACCATGCCCACCAGCGTCAAGACATGTGTTTATGGTTTAGTATTATGAATTGTATCACCAGTATGGATTTCGTTAACGAAAACTAAGAGGAGGAAAGCCAAAAATAGAGTCTTAAGAAACGAAAATATTGAAAAAACTGAAACGAAACAATAAAAAAATTAAAACCGTCTTGCAACTTTTACATTATGTTTCAAACATTTTCAAAATATGATTTCTGATTTTTCATCAATTAATTTATTTTTCATCTATTCTTTTTATCGATTGATATTCTCTGCTTTTGTATTTCTTTGTTTGAGATCTTAAAGCTTTGACAGTTGAAATCGCCACTCACTTTTTTGATATTTAATCAGTAATTTTGATTATATTTTTAATAACTGTTAAATAAGAATAAATTAAAAAAGAAGTGATCTTTAGGTCAACGAAACGCATGCACAGCATTATATTATTTCAGATATCACATTAAAAATTGCATGCACTGCACATTATTGTGCATTTCCTTCACATGCAACATGGAATTTATGCATTTGAACGAAGAAACCATATTGAACTTGAAATAAGATTCTTTTTAATGAAGAGTTTTTTTGATAAAGTGAAGCTTAAAATTTTTTACAACAATTGTATGCATTTTATAATTTTATATACAAAATTTTAAAATGAAAACTGAAACAAAAAAATGTTGCTTAATGATATTAAATCTAATACTAAAAAAATTGTAAAAATTGGAACGAAAACTAAAACTTGAAAATTTAACAAAACTAAACGAAACTAAAACGAAAAAATATCCGAAACGAAATTCACACTGTGTAACATACACGCGCGCGCAGACACATACACACAACATATATGTACGTACATACACATATTTGCGCATATATATATATATATATATATATATATATATATTGAATCATCTAAACAATGTATAACCAGCTTTTATATCAACTTGTGTGATCAACAATTTAAAATATGCACCATTAGATACGGTATATTTATTATTTATTTACGCAAGTTTTGTTATTATATATATTTTCTCTCTTCTAATTTAATATCAATAGAACTAAATAATACGTAGCATAGGCAATTGTGCGAAGACCGTAATTTTACAGTCTATGATCGTTCAACTCTCGCATAATAAAACAACGTCGATGAAAATTTTATACAGTGAAATGCAAATATATAAATTATGTGCGAAAACCGTTAACGTTCGTATGACTATATATAACAGGCATGTCAAACTCGAAAAGTAACACGGGCCGCACAAGATACTTTGAGTAGATTGACGGGCCATAAAAACAAATCTGAGAAACACCAGTCTTATCGAAGTATGTTCAATTAACGCTTCAAAACGCCAAATATAACAATTGTAATTAAACATTTATTCAAGAATCAAGATTATTAAACAATTTTTATTCTTTACTCTTTAACAAGTGTAATCAAATATTTATTCAAGAATCAAGATTATTAAACAATTTATATTCTTTACTACCTTTTGTCCTGAGGCTTGGTGCTTCTTTTTCATAACAATTTTTCGGTGCCTCTTTTTTATAACAATTTTTCGGATATCTGGCTGGTATGTATTTGCAGTTCTAACCTTGATCAGGGATGACAAATGTTCATCGGTTAGCCTTGTTCTCTGAGAAGGTTTTGTTAACTTCATGAAAGAAAACAACTGTTTACACACATAAGTGGAACCAAACATTGCCGTAATCCTTATTGCAAACTTTCTTAAGTTGTGAAGTTTTTAGGAAGTTATGTATAGAAGTTAGATATCCCCACCTCTAGATAATTTGCTCGAAGTGTAGAATCTGAC